ATGCTGTTGCATACTGTGATGCCAAGACTACTACTGAGCTTCTTGATCTCGGGCTTGCTGATGTTAATTGTAAAAATTCAAGGGGATATAGTGTGCTCCATGTGGCTGCAATGAGGAAGGAGCCTAAGATTATAGTGTCCCTTTTGACCAAGGGAGCTCAGCCTTCTGATCTCACTTTGGATGGTAGGAAAGCCCTTCAAATTTCTAAGCGCCTCACCAAGGCAGTGCATTATTATGGTGCTGAGGAAGGCAAAGCATCTTCTAGGGACAGATTGTGCATAGAGATATTAGAACAAGCTGAGAGAAGAGAGCCTATACTTGGGGAGGCTTCTTTTTCTCTTGCTATGGCAGGGGACGATTTGCGCATGAAACTGTTATACCTTGAAAACAGAGGTAATTATTCACAAGTCCAAACCCTGCATTTTTTTCCCTTCTTGCATGTCTCTTTATGTACTTTATGAGAAGTTTCAGGTAGCATCAGAGTTGTAGGATCAAGTTTACTTAACATCTTAGTCTTATTGCAGTTATTCTCAGCCAAATTACAAGTGTTGGAAAAGTTGCTTCCATTTAATAACATTGAACTGCTGCCAATTGCCCTTGTGGAAAAGCACAATGAATTTCATTCTTCTTCCTTTTTTTCCCCTTCTGTGTAAGAAGACAATTAGAAGGATAACAGCCGTAGAAAGTGGTCTATCTCTTGGTATGACATGCATACTATTGATTAGATTTCAAACCATCTCGGAAACTACTATTTTAAAACAATTCAATCATTTGCAGCATCCAATTAAGGCAAAGAAAATCTTTAAGTGATGTAAATATCTCCTTATTAAGTTTAACAATATAACTCGTCAAGGGGGGTATTTTTGTTTAAGGAATTAGATTTCAATCAGTGATTTGAATAAAGCCTTTTAGACTATTCAAAGCATTTGAGCCTAAGACTCGTATGGCTGTTACCTTTATGTTGTTGTGTGTGTTCTTTTCTTGGTTCTGTAAGATAGTATGATTCACCATGTACAAGTCTGCATATTGTTTATTAAGTTTACAAATGAAATCGATGCATTATCTGTTTCTTTACTTGTAAAAGAAGAAAAGAAGTTCTCAACTAGAATGGCATGCCATTTTTTATTCAAGTGGACTACAAGAAAGTGCAACTTCAAGATATTTAAATTCAAATAGCCTCAAATTGATATGATTTACTGATAATAAATTTTTTTCAGTTGGACTGGCGAAGCTATTGTTTCCAATGGAAGCGAAGGTTGTATTGGACATTGTTCAAATTGATGGAACCTGTCCATTTTCAGATATATCTCAAAATGTGAGTACTAATACTCAGAGGACAGCAGTGGATTTGAATGAGGCACCTTTCAAAATAAAGGAGGAGCACCTAACAAGGATGAGAGTACTCTCTAAATCTGGTAAATGATGATTCACATCTATAATTTATTGCATTTAGCCATTAGAGATAAAGGTTTTGGCCCTTGAATAATATGTTTTACTTGAAATTAGTAACCTGAGAAAACATTACTGTCCGTTGCATTGATTGAGTCATAAGTGGATGAAAATCCTTAGAGAACTGAATTTTCCTTGAGTCAATTCAAGGTTGATGTCATCAATTGAGATGCATATTTTTTTTGGGTATTAAATTGATGCCAATCATAATTTTCAAGGACTGGAATGGTAGTTTACTCAAATTCTTTTGTCCTCGCTGTTCTTGGACAAGGGAGGGAAATGACGCCTACCACCTGATTTTGTACCTTCAGAAGCGAAATATGTTTTGATGCAAATCTGAGAGGGAGAACCCACATATATCCTCAAATGATGGTGTCGTCATCAATTTAGTTCAAAATCACCATTTTAAGGTTGCTAAAATGGTATCAACACCATCTTCCATCATAGTCAAAACCAATCATTCTGAGTTTTAGACTGATATCAAATATCTATACAAAGGGCGGCCTAGTGCACAAGGCTCCCACTAGTTGCGGTCTAGGGAAGGATAAATGTACACAATCTTACCCCCATAAATGGAGAGGATATTTGTAGGATTTGAACTCATGACAACTTCCAAGTCACATGGCAGCAACTTTACCGCTGTTAAATAGAGCTCCATATGACTTGATAGAGCCTAATTCTATGTAGTAGATGTCACTTAATAAAATAAGGCTTATTGTTAATAATGTATCATAGCCTGTTACTGCTTATTGTTACTGTGGCAGCTGACTTCTTTCTGCTTTTGATGATCAGTTGAACTAGGCAAACGATTCTTTCCTCGTTGTTCGGAAGTTCTGAACAAGATCATGGATACTAATAACCTATCACAGATTGCATGTATGGGCAATGACACTCCAGAAGAAAGACAAGCCAAGAGAAGAAGGTACGTGCTGCTCCAAGAAGTTCTGAGTAAGGCTTTCATGGAGGACAAGCAGGAGTTTGATAAGTCTACAGTCTCATCATCTTCTTCTTCACCATCAATAGGCATGGTTAGGAGAAACCCATGAATGAACTTGACTCAAGAAAAAAAAAAAAATCGTTTTCTCCTCCTTCGTTCTTCTTGGTCCAAGCTTACATTTGTTCTTAAATCATTTAAAATGTTAGTCCTTACACTTTAATAAATAAAATTATAAGACAAAGTTATTTCTCAAATGTCAGGAACTAACGTTATAAACTGTTAAAACTATAGGAATTAAATTGCATTAAATCAACATATAGAGATGAAGTTTTAATCAAGTTAAAACCACTGAGTTAGAGGTTAAGTTAACAGGAATCAAATGATTAATTTTTTCCCCTCTAAATTAAATTTCCACCCATCGAAAGGAGCACTTGAAATTGGAATCGAAAGGAGTGAAGAGAAAGCCAACACATACAGCCCTTTTAGATGAAATGAATCTAATCCAACTTCCAAGTCATGTCCAATCTCTGAAAGAAGTATTCATCGCTCTATTATGTAAAGTCTTTAGTTTTTTTTTTTTCCCCTCCCCAAAATAAGTTAATGATTGACGGTGAAACCTTAAGTTGGTATATAATGATTTTAGAGATATAATTATGGAAAACGACTTAAAGCGAAATGGACAAACCCAAAATCAGCAGGATTTGATTTGAAGCTGAAGTTGTGACTGTTACCATATCGTCTGGATAAGTCACCACTATCAAAATGACTTTGCCTTTTGATCTCAATCTCTTTAATTATTCTTTTCTAAGCTTCTCATTCGCGCTTGGTAAACTTAACCTTATCAATAATCCCTTTTAATTTGATCTGATGGCCCACGTTTGGTACGCTTCTAAGTAATATTTATAATTTGCATTTTTTTTTTTTTTGGGATAATCAGTTGACTCATAAGTTTAATTGTAAAATAATGAACTACCACTCCGGGCTTATTATAAATTATTTGTATAAAAAAAAATTTATCCTAAACATAAGTCATGTGTAAGGTTTTTAATTATTGTTTTCAATTTTAATCTTATTTAATTTTTGTTAAAAGCAGAAAAAGAGGAGAATATTTGTAAATAGGGGGGGGGGGAGAAAATTTTAATAAAAGTAAAATTTTCAATTTTCTTACTATGTTAAAATAAGTTAGAAGTGACTTATAATAAGGATAATTACATTTTAAACTAAAAACGAACCACAAAGTTCATGAAGTTATGAATTTCAAGTCATTATAATTGTAATCTTCAATATGAGAGGTGGTGAGATTCACATAAAATGATTTGTGTTGTAATACATACTGTCTCGGGTCCTAATTATAAAACCTCACTTATAGTTTACAAACGAGATTTTATAATTAGGACCGGAGATAATATTATATAGTAACCTTATCCAAACGGATTATGCTACTTTTGGAACAACTTGCTATTAATCACAAGTTGTTATACCGCTCTAATTGTTATTACAAGTAACTTATAGGAAAAAATTTTAAGGAGTGTTTGAAATGTGAATGAAAACCAAATTATAATTCTAAAAGTGGATTTACGGTACATGAAATAAGTGAGTGAAAAGAGTTTTATTTTGATTTGTGTGAAAATATTTTTTAAAAGTGCCTTTGGTTGAACCAAATACCTCCTTAATCCTAAATATAAAGTAAGTTAATTATAGAATATTTAATGAGGATTTTTTTAATTTTATTCTTATTTAATTCCTGTTGAAAAGAGAGAAAGAAGAGAAAAATGTGAGAATGATTTGTAAATGCATAAAAACAAGTTTAAAATTTTTTATCAATTTAATGTATTTTTTTCGTATATGAGGATGAGTTATAAGTGATTTATAATAAAAAAAATACTGCATTTATCACTTGTACTTATTTCAATGAATTTTGTTTTGAAGACATTAATATTACTTTATAACTATTTGTTTTTAAAAAATTAAAAACATGGTTAGGAAAACTTGTTGAAACAGCTGATCATGACCACTTTAACATAAAATGAGACGTATTAGGCGAATAATAAAAAAAATGATGAGAGGAGAGAATATAACGATTTGCTGACAAACACGTGGCAAGGCAGAGGACGCAAAATGACCAAGAGCTTTCTTGTGAAGATCCATCCTCTCCTTGTCGACATTTGGATTGAATTTAGGTGTTCCAGCTTGGGAAACAGAACTTGATCACGACATTAATAAGATAATGTCCTTTAGTCGTCGTTGGGGTCCCTTCATCTTCTTCTCCTCGACACCTGCCCTGCTTTTCCCTTTTTTAATTGCTTTTATTTGGCTTCTCACTCTCAGGGACCCACTTGATGATAGGTGTCCCTGACCTTTTACGCTTTCTTTTTGGACAAAATTGCTTATGCCCATTTTCCATTTCTCTAGTCTCAAGCCGCATACAATGCTCTTGACTCTACTTTAAACTGTTAGCTTGCATATTTATCTATTCTTTTTATAATTTTATAAATATATGTATCATAAGAGAGTGGGGATTGGTGAGTGGATAAAAATCTGTTGATGTATGGCTTAACCAAGAACTGTTTCCTACAATGATGTGAAATGCTTCAGAATGTGAACCAGAATCATATATACCTAATTTTTAAAGAACTAAAACAAAGCAAGCAAGCAGGAACAGTACACAAGCCATAAAACAGGAAGTATGAACATGCACCAACCAAGGTGATAGTGACGTAGTGATATTACAAACAGTTGAGTGGTCACAAGAGGTTCAGCTTTGAGAAGTGGCTGATACCAGGCTTTGTACAAAGGGGAAAACTTATCATCGCAGTAAAGGACTATGAAAAATAACATGTCAAAGATGTGTGAGGAACATAATATTCTAATTTAGCTCCAGCCAAGAGAAGAAACACTTGATTTCTTTCTGAGTTTCTATATCACGTAAACTGGTAGAGCAATCTGCCTTCTCACTTCTCAAGTTAGCATATGTTGAAGAGCCTAAATATAATTTGCTCATCATCATTGCTGTTGCAGCTGCAGCATCTTTTTCAAGTGTGGGCTCACTCTTGCAACCTGCAAATGCACGCAAGCAATGTCAACAACGGGAAAAAATTATGTAATTCATGAATCATCAGTTCGTGAACATAATATTACAACCTTCTGTTCAAGTGGTAGTTCAATTTATGTTCCTCCATTCTTCTATTGAATATCTAGATTTAAGCTCTAAAAACATGCACAAAATAGTATATGTCAGAGATGGATGTAGAGCTATTCATAGGCCTTCACTTACTACACTTCTGAATTGCAATTTCAGGAGAAAACAATCTTTGAAAAGAGCTTTACCTTCTCAAGGAATCAATCAGATACAACCAGTTTGCCCCACTAATCCACTTGCAGATCCAACCCAGTCAGTTTGTTTGCTAATCAAATCCTCCAATTCAAGATAGATATTTGAATCATTCACATCAAGCCCTTCCTCAACAACAGAGTTCTCTTCCATCAGTTTCTCTGACATCATACAGCAGGCTGCAGAAGATGCATCGTTAGCACTTGCTCTTGAAGCATTGGTCCTTAATCCCGGACTGCGTAGTTCATCTTTCAGAGCAGAAGGGGCTGCAGGCTGCGTTCTGCTATTGTTCACTGTTTCAGACAAGAGTCCATTGAGCTCTGACTGCAATGAAGCTAAGTCCTTATTACCTTGTCTATAATCAACATCAGGACTAGTGTCCATGGCCTTGGGAAAGTTCACAGGACAATGGTTTCCAAGCAATCTGGGTCTCTTACCGATCTCGCCCCCACCGAGCTCTCTTTTTCGCTTTATCTTCTGGATTAAATGCTGAATGAACGTTGGTCTTCTGGCCATTTTGGTCAGGAAATACATCATCTGGCACTGCTTCAACTCGGCCGACCGAACACGCTCTTGAACATTTACAAGCTGAACCTGTGAAGTCTCTTGTTGCTGTCTCAGCTTTAGAATTTCCACTTTCAGTATGCTCTGATCCTTCTTCAGTCTCTCAACTTCAGCCTCCAGGCCAGGTTTCATGGAAGTCAACGCTCCTCCTTGTTGCAGTTTGTTATACTTGCTTCTCCTCCTAATGTTCTTCAGTAAATGCTTCTTTCCACCCTGAAATCCTTCGTTCGCAAACTCCCAACGATCTGAATCAATTTTCCGAAATCCCTGTAATCATCACATGACAAATTTAATATCTAGACAGCGCCAGGATTCATCAAGAAAACTCCGGCAAAGTTCAATCAGTAAAACAATAAGTTGGCATATGATACAAGTGATAAACTTTTAACCACAATAGGTTAAACATACAGAAAACGAACATGAGCAGAAAATTTAACTACTTAACATCAGCAGCAAAAATTTGAGCACACGGGAAATTTTTTTCTTCTTCCCAAGAAATTAAACGAAGTTCAAGAACAAAATCTCGATTATTGTGGAGCACAAATATTATAATAATCATCCATAGAAAAATACGCATATAACCCAAGTATTTTTTGTCTAGCAAGAAGCTTCGCAAGAAACAAGACATTACAGAAGTTACAATCATGCACACACAAACTTTTCTCTCTGCTTAAATTGAAGGGCAAGAACTATTTGCACTATTGAACAAGAGAAATTAGGTTGCGTTACTCACGTATGTGTTAAGCTGCCGAATGAAGCTCGAGAAATTGCTGTGTTTGAAGTACTTAGGGAGAAGAATTTTGGAAAATTCATGGGAATCCCAAACGATGAAGCTATCACGAGCTTCGCTCCAGGACACAATCGGGTCGGTCACCGGGTCCTCAACCATCTCGAATGTCTTCTTGAGGAACGGCGGCGGGCCCAACTCGTGCAACCCTTCCATCGGTTTCGGCAAGAGGATTGGCGATGAATAAGACGACCCATTAACTCCAGCACCGCCATCGACATAATCCACCAGTCCACCCGGCTCCTCAAGCTTGACATGAACAGGTGGAACTGGTTCAGTAAACTCCCCATCCGTCCATGGAGAGCTCTTCTTTGCCGAATCCTCACTGTAAACGCCGTCGTCTGGTTCACCTTCAACATCGCAGTACCCACCAGAGCTCGAACGACCGGTGTCCTCATCAGACATCATCACTTGCTCTGATTTGACTCGTGCTACTCCTGCCATAGCTTCGTTTAATAGAACTGTAGAAATGGATTCTGACCTGCCACCACCGCCGATCCCGCCGGATCCACCGTGAGCCACCCCCATATTGTCACTGCTTTACCGCTGGAAAGTGCCAGTGTTGCAGAGGTAGAGGACACGTAGAGAGAGAGAGAGAGAGAACTGGCTGTACCGTTTTGGGAGTATGGAGAATGATAAACTAAGCGCTTTCAAACTTTATTTTCCCTTTATAGGCGATGAATAATCAAAATATTTTTTCTTTTAGTTTGGCAAGAGTGGGAGAAAGCCCCTGTCCAAAATTTGTATTGAGATTTGAGGGGGAAAAAAAAGTAATTTATACCACATCTAATTATTATTAATAAGATAAAAACTACAACTAATTTATAAATATTAAAAAATAATTAAGTTAATTATTTTTAATAAATAAATATTATTTAGTTATTTATAATAAATAAATTTTATCTTTCTTAAAATATCTTTGAAATTATTTTTCAATAAAAGCTGCTTAAAATGTGTAATCAATACAAAAATTACTTAAAAGTAAAATGAACAAATGCTGAAAATAAAGTAAATTTTGATATTATATTTAGAATCAACTTAAATATTTAATTATCTCTTATAATATAGTGCTAATTTCATTCCTCGACTCAAACAATCAAATTATGTAGTTCAAAGAAATTATTAAAATTAATCTAAAATAATGAATAGATAGGAAATGTATTTTTTTAAATATTTTCTATCCATAATGGATCATGAAAAAGAAAAATATGAAAGAGAGTATATGAAAGAAGTTATTAAAAATAAATTAGTAAAAATTCATTTTGATTATCCAAAATGGATCTTATAAACAGACATGGAGGGGATGAACAAGGGGACCAGCTAATCCAAATTTTTAATTAAAAATGGAAAATAAAGAATTGAGTATATCTGCGGGACTGTCCATTTTGGGAAATGGACTTAATGCCACGTGTCCTAGTTTTGACCTTTTGTTGCAATACAGGGGACCCACCCTCTCTCCTGTCCATATTTTAGCCGGTCCTAGTCAAATCATTTTAATGTTTTTATATTTTATCCAGAAGCCTGAATATATAGGCCGTATATATTGTGCCTGACTTCCTGCACCCGTTTTGTTTTACCTAAATATATTTTTCTACTATTTTTAATTGCTTCTCATGTCTATTTATTTCCAAATAATTCAAATTATTTTAGAAAAAATTATCAAAGAATCTCCCATTAAAATATTTCGTATTTTATAAAAAAAAATCTGAAATGAAAGATGTTTATGCATAACTGACGTATATTGCACATAATTTAGAAAAAAAAGTTACACTCACTCAATTCAAGAATTTTTTTTTACGAAAATTTTTTTCAAATAAGAACTTCTCAACAATTTTCGCAATACTTCATTCATACAAATCAACTATCGGCAATTCATTGATCTTTTAAATAATAAAAAATGTAGAAAAAATTGTTTGACTGAAAAAGATAATTAGAGGCAGAATAATAGTGAATAAATACAAAAATAAAAGAATAGTGGGGAGGCTGAGGCTTTAACGGGAACGGTCGATTCGGTTACCGGCGGAGGCATGGTTATTGTCGGTCATCAGGAGCTGCATGAGTAGCACGTGTCGCAATCTGCATGGACACCACGTGTCGACTTCTCCAACCCCTAACCTCTTCACTGCCATTTCCCTCTGTCGTTTTATTTTGATGGGACTTGTGCTCTTCTCATTGGTCACCTCCTCCCCCTCTCAAATTCTTGTGCCCACTGTAGATCGCCGCCACAACCACAATTTCCGATTTTTAATTAATGTTGAAATGTGAATTTTGCCACAAAATGATGTTACTCGTTGCTTTTTATATGAGATAAAAATTTGCATGTGACTTTTCTTTATTTACAAGCAGCAGTTAGATGCTCTCATCATTTTTTTTTATTTTTCATTTCATTCCTATTTGTTTGGGTGAATCATTTTAATAGTCATGTTAATATTATTGTATTTAATGTCAAAATAATTTTCTATATAATAAATTCTAACAAAGAATATAACATTTTCATATATTTATTGTTTCTCACTACTCACTTTGATTTTTACTATAAGTTCCAAATAAGAAATAATAAACTTATATATAATGAAAAATCAGTTAAAATTAATTAAAATAATAAATAAAAAATAAATACGCTTTTATTTACAAGTATATCCTTATAATAAGTGGGAAAAGATGAAGAAAAATACATAAGAAAATGTAGTAATAAGAAATAGTGTGGTAAAAAAAAAAAGAATAAATAATCTGAGGAAAAAATTGGAAAAAAAACAGATTAAATGTTGAGAGAAATTTAAATTGACATTTATAAAATAAACTACACTCTTTCTCAAATTCAGAGCTTATAATAGAAGTGGAGGTAGTAATTTAAACTCACTTTTTTTTTTTATTAATGTGATTTGATTAATTTTCTATTTAAAAAGAACGAATGGAAGTAATTAATAGGAAGAATAATTGTGCAGCATTAAATTTTTTTGGGTCAAAGTAAGAACCAAATTAAATTCAACGCAAGCCCAAACACATTTTTTTCTATTTAAAAACTACCTATTATTATAATTCTTGCCTATTAGTAGAAGTAACCTCAATAAATTGTTTTAGAAGTATTGACCCCTTCCATTGAACATATTAATTTAACTTTGGTGAAACAACGTATCTGAGACAAATAATTAAGGTTGAAAAAACGACAAGTTTTTCAATCAAAATGAGAGTAAATCTCGGTAGTCTGACTTCACGCACTGCTTCGACATTCAGGGCCCCCTAACGCAGTGTTGGAAGAAATCAGTTTTGTTTTGTCCTTGAATGAGCCATTTTAGCAGAAACGAATGTCTTGCAGCTGGTTTCACCTCCCTCTTCATCATCCTTCATCCATTTTCATGATGCCTTCGTTGTGGTGTCATTATCACCTCGTTCAGAATCCGTATTTCTTGCAGACCACGGGTGATTTCTGGCGGCAAAACTAAAATGTCATCTATTTTCATTCATCTCATGTTGAGAAGAGTGTGGGAAATTGTTCATCAAATTTGCTGCCATAATGACCTGCAAGCCCTACAATAACAATATAAAGCACAATCACCAGGAAAGTACTGTAATGAATTTAAAAATGGTTAAATTTTTACTGAGGATTTTAATGTCAAGATCAAGCAATCTGGCATCATGTTTGAGGCAAACGTCTTCCCATTAATTATTAGACGTCAAATACCGCAATGCAAAGAAATTTACATTAGTGCAAATGGGTGCAAGATATTACCTGCAATGAGCAGCAAGAAAATATTACAGAAGAAAACAGCACTCGACAACCCTCGGATTATCATCCACTCGACCACGCGATAGGTGGCTTGGAACTTCTCTGTTATACCAAATCATGCAAATGAACTTGAAATCATGGACTCCCAATCATGCACTCCGAAATCATGAACTCCCAATCATGCACTCCCTGACATTATTGGATCTATGAACTGCTATACAGCCTTGTTCATCTCTAATTTCACAGCTGATGCACCAAAAGGGGACTTTAGCTTAATATTGGACTCGTGCTCTGCTGCAAATGATAGAGTTGATAACAGTGCCCTTTGAGCAGAGTTATATACGTGCTTATGATGTCCTGGTGCTAACCGTTCTGAAGATTGACCTGAAATAAATGGAGAAGTTGGAAACATAGATGAGGTCAGAGTTGAAGTCTGAGGAGTATATGCCTTAGCTCCCTCTTGCACTGATCTACTAAGACTGTGATCCTGATGAGAGGTTGAGCTAAATTGTACACCATTACTATAACGATGTATTGAAGCTTTTCCTTGGAAACCCAAATCCATTTTCCCCGCTACACATTGATTTTCCTTTAAAGTCTCATTTGAGCACACAGCAGTCTGCAGCCCAATGCCAATTTTACTGCCATCATCCTTCTCTAGAGATGCTTGTTCAGGCGTACCTAAACTTCCTTTCTGAGACAACTTGATACCACTTTCCTTATTCAGAAAGGAGGAAACAGTACTTTTGAAACCGGAAATACGACCTTTTCCAAATGAAAGGAAATTAATTCCTTTAGGTACCCCCACTGGCGTTTTCCCAGGATTCATCAAGTTTAAAGCCGTGCCCGATGCACTTTGATTAGAAAGGGTCCCAATTTGAACAGAATTTCCCTTGTCTGGCGTTACCATTCCTTGTTTTCGAGAAGATGATTTCGAAAAATTGATGAAACTAATTCCTTTAGGTGCCATTGTCGGTGGTTTCTTTACAGTGTCTGTCACCTCTTTTTCTGAATTCAAGTGAGTTTGAATTCCTTTTGAATCAGAGATCTGTTTTTGCTGAGAAGCACTGCTGCTGCTGATATTAGGCGGCTTGCTTAAGTTTGCATTTCCTAATAGTTTAGGCTCCAACTCAGCTTTGCTATCATTTGAAGATGTAGCAACATCTTGTTTGGTTGGCATCTGTACAATAGGAGTCCATTTCAGTTAGATTATAGATCATGAACGCATATATCGTTGAAACGACTTGGTTGATGCAAATCCTCTATTAGTTCAATCACATCACAGGTTATTACATCATTTACAAATCATATGAAGTTATTGTAGTACCTCGTGTGAAAACATACAAGCATTCCCTCTGCTGCAAGATCCTTTACTCACAAAATTGCTACAAGGATACTTGGAAAGCTCATGATCAAATGGACAGTCATCACCTTTCATGCAAGAGTGACGAGCAAAGTGACAGCACGGCTGCAATTTCAATAAAAATTCAGGTTTTCTAAAATTTAAAAAGCCTAATTAGTTGCTCCCGTTACTTATCACTGAATTAACTACTAGGAAGTAATACCTTCGATTTTGTCAGAGGCACTATGTCATGTGAGAACTTGCACTTGTCACCCTGTCAATTGTTTTTTTCATTGGAGATGGAAAGGAAATTAGACTCGTACACTTAGCAATAAACTATCAACATATGCTGCAAAATATGCATCCATTTAAAACTCATGCAAATAATGATCAGGATGGGATGCTTTTGAACATTAAGCAGAAGAAGTTTAATAGAGGTCATGGTAATGCATCCCGTCACATGTTATGCTCCACAATAGAAATATTAAAATTGAAGATCCTCTACATGACTTCAGACAAGCGTTTTAAGGAAATCTTCATGTACAAGAGGAATTACACATGAAATGCCACTATATTTTGATTTTCCCAAATATAGAATGCCTTCATCCTTACAGTGGGCTTTATGTATAAGAGATGACAAACGAAATTGCGCATATGTAGGTGAAAATTCTACTAGAATTTTATATAGATGCATTCCTTCACTTTTGCAAGCAAAAGAGAAAAAGATAATTATCATGTGATTGAGTCATATGAACAACCTCATGGCACCTTCCCTTCAGATAATGGCGGCAATATGTGATAGTTTTTGGTTTCTGTACTGGCTGCAGCTTCAACCTTTTAACCCCAAGTTTTCTGTTCTTTTCTGCCCGCTTCTTTCTTTTCTTTTCCTATGTAATAAAATCAAACAAATAAAAGATCAACCACATATTGGAAGCATACAGATTTATGCACTATTCCATGAACGATCTTAAGATTGGTTTCAGAAGCGATGGAATTAACTAATTTTTAAAATATAATATCACAACTTAAAACCAATAGCTCAACATTAAAAAATACAAATAACCGAAAAACAATTTAAGAATACCTTCTTTTTGGCCTTCCTTTCCTCAGTAACAGGACCACGCTTTTTCTTACAACTGATGCCAGCTTTCTGCTGTAAAGGATCAACCACAGTGGTCATACAACAAAACAAAACAAAAAACAAATGCAGCACAATTTACTACAAGTTAGTCTGCATCATTCAACGCTTCAATAGAAAAGAGTACAGAATTTCTACAAGTGATTGTACATCATGGAGTGTCGTTTTGGCATGGGCACATTCAAATCACATAAATTAATAAACGAACCTAATTTTTAAATTCTTGTGCCTTTCCCAAAACCCTACAAGTTGCAAACACTTCATAGAAACAAGGGAATAATACGCTTGGGAATTTAACATATTATGCATAAACATGTAGATGAACACTTAAATGTGTGTGTGTGTGTGTGTGTGTAACACCAAACAAGGTAGTATAAGCTCAAAACAAGCCTATAGTATCTTATTTTAACCCCTCACAAAACTAAACTAAACAATAACGAAGGAAGATCATCAAGCAATCAAAACATCTCATGCAGATAAATATAAATAATTAAAATAAAACAAAGACTCATATTTAAATGTTTTAAGAGCAAAGTTAACATGAGAAAATAAAAATGTTTTATTGCACAATTCATTGAAGAATGCAAGTGAAAATCATACCCTTACTGCAGATGTGTTTTGATGATCATCAGTGGCTTCTTCTGCGGGCGAGACTTCTTTGTTAGCCAAAGTGGGTGGCAAGCCAACAACACCTTTAATTCCCCCGTCTTCACTTTTTGCAGTAACCGATACAGAACCATGCTCCACTAAATCCCCATAATCAACAATTTCCCGAGAGATTCCAAAGTCAACTCCATTTGGAAGCCCATTTTTATCACTTTTCCTAGGTTGCATTAGTCTACTGTTATCTTGAGTTGATTCATATTGTTTTTCTTTTTCTTCTTTCTGTGTGTTAAAAGGAAATACTATATTTTCAATAACATGTTGGAGCTTGTGTACATCATGTTCCCTCTGTTCTATCATCAAGGAATCTGCAGAAGACGTATCAATTGAATTCTCATCCATTCTAAAGTCACCTGAAATTTCTCCCTCTTCAATGCCTTCTTTCTTATCTGGATGATTGGAAAATATTGCACCATTTGCACAAGTTATTTTTTCTGGCTGCTCTTTTTCATGCCGCATTTCATGTTTAGCATCCAAAATATCAATGTCCATGAACCACATCTCTTCGCTATAGTTGCCCACATTCAATGTTTCACCGTTGATACCCTGATTAACAGATAAGTCCATTGCTTCAGGGACCTTTCTACCTGATGGCTCTATGTCCGAGAGGCCCAAATCCCTCTTCTTACTCTTCCTTACATACGTCTTAGTGGATTTGGAACCATCACTACAATTATGTTCTTCCTTCTCAAGTTCATCCTCTTCAATATCAGGAAGGGAAACGATTGCAGCACAGCCAGGTTTCGCCAATTCCATTGGATTATGTTGGCTTTTAGGCTTTGTTGTTAAAATCAATGATTCAATATCCATGCCATGATCTACAGATATGTGCATTGCTTCAGGAACCTTCTGACCATCTTGTACTTTCTTCTCAAGCTCACCCTCTTTGGTAGTAGGAAGAGAAACAATTGCAGCACAAACTGGTTTTGATGAGTTCATTTCCTTTTGCTGTTTCTCATGCTTTATATGTGAATTTGATGCTTCATTATTCACACCCTCATCCATAGAAAATTGCATTGCTTCAGGAACCCTTTGTCCCTGTTGTTCTTCCTTCTTAAACTCACCCTCTTCAGTAGTAGGAAGAGAAATAATTGCAGCAGAAACAGGTTTCACCAGTTCCATTTCCTTTTGTTGTCTATTGGGATTTATACTTGAAATCAATGCTTCACTATTCATAGCCTGATCCACAGAAACATGCATTGCTTCAGAAGCCTTTTGACCGTGTTGTTCTTCCTTGTCAAGCTTACCCTCTTTGGTAGTAGGAAGAGAAACCATTGCAGCACAAGCTGGTTTTGCTGAGTCCATTTCCTTTTTTTGTTTCTCATGCTTTACAGTTGAATTTGATTCTTCATTATTCATACCCTGATCCACAGAAAATTGAATAGCCTCACATGCCTTTTGACCACGTTGTTCTTCCTTCTCATACTTACCCTCTTCAGCAGTACGAAAAGAAACAACTGCAGCAGAAACAGGTTTCACCAATTCCATTTCCTTTTGTAGTCTCTCAAGCTCAATACTAAAATTCAACGGGTCGTTATATTCCATACCATCATCTAGAGAAAGGTGTGTTGCTACATGAACCCTTTGACCACGTTCTTCCTTCTCAAACTCACCTTCTTCAATAATAGGCAGAGAAACCATTGCATCACAAAGTGGTTCCACTAATTCCATTTCTTTTTGCTGTGTCTCATGCCCTGTACTTGAAGTACTAATTTCAGGTACGGAGGTTTCCTTTGTTTCAGATGTTGAACTGTTAGCAATGAAAGATCCATCAAAGCCTTTGGAGATATTTTGATTAAATTCTCCTTCTATATAACTGGCTTTCAGTTCCAGATGTGTTGATATCGGATCTCCTAAATTCAGCATGCTCCACTTGGTAATCGATCAAGTCAACTTCACTGCTTCCATTCTGGTTTTCACCTAATCTCAAGTTCAAAGGAATTGAGCCATTGTCAACAAGGTTTTCAGCTCCTTTCGCTATCTGATTCAACTCTTCTATTTTCTTCTGTTCCTTATTCAAACCATTAGTTCTCATAGACAAGGCCTCAACACTTTCACTTTCCCAAATCATCATATCCTGCCTCCCAGCAGAGCCTACATCTTCCTCTACTCCCATTATAAACTCCCTACCATTAGAGTTCTCAAGAACCTGTTTTCCCCCGTGGGATACAGGATGCTTGAGATTCATAAGATCAATACCAGAAAATTGCAAGTTCTGAGGCTCCCTTTCCCGGTTTTCTTGCCGCAATCTATCGATGCCATTGGCTTCAAACAGGAGAAGGAAGAGAGAATTGCATGAGAAATACGCAGTTAAATTGAAACGAACAGCAAACACAAAAGCAAAGCTTAAAACATAGTTTCTAAAGTAAGGTAATTACTTCAATTCCAATAAGAAATCTGTGGAACGATTAGGAAAATTAAAAAAAAAAAAAAAAAAAAAAGTCAAGAGTCGTTGATTTTCACTTACTATGATTTTTTAGCTCTGGAGAAGCAGCATGATTTCCTATTGTGCCAGGTAGACTGCACTCATTGTTGCAGTGGGATAGGATACGAACCAGGGTATGATAAGTCCCACTCTTCAAATGTGATCGACGGTAATGAGGAAAACCCGTCAAAATTTCAGAGGGTTTTGAAGGCTCCAATTGAGCTTCCTCCATCACAAGCAAAGAAGTTCAAAATGACGAAAATTCTATCATAAAACCCCTCTCTCTTTCATATCACCGGAAAAGAAAGAACTCTAACTTTTAGGCTCCAACTGCCTCTGACCACGACGGTCCATGGAGGAGGAGAAACCCGGAGTCGGAGGAGGGGCTGGTGGGCTGCCCTCTGCTATGGGACGTAGCTCGAAGTCGAAGGAGAAGAAGACACAAGAAGACGGCAAAGCACGAAGTCATGGGGCGCTGCAAATGGACGAGGCATCGAAGACGGTGTATATCGGGCGGAACCAACCAGGAGCCAACCACCCATTCTATTTGCGCGAACGTATAAACGCTGCGTTGCATGCTTGCAGCGTCGGGCTTAGGCTCTTTATACAAGATTCGTGGGATTTAAAAGAATGAATTAAATTTTTTACAAATAAAAATTTGAGTAAATAAGTCATATTTCAAGGTTCTAGAAAGTATAAAATCAAATAGTTGTGTTTTTCATCTTTTATAAATATATATAGAGAGAGAGAAAAAATGAACGAAACCAGATAAAAATTTAATTTATTTAACAGAAATCTAATTTATGTGGTTGGTTTATTCAATTTTTTTCGTTTGATTTTTATGTCATTTTAGTTTATATTATTTTATTGAGAACCCGACCCATTATGCAAAATATAAATACCTGTTACATACAACCCAATTAATCTTCCAAATATTTTTATGTTGTTGTTGTTCTTTGTTGAAATTCATTTAGTATGATGCACATGAATTGGGCATTTGTGCATGCAATCATTTTACTAATTAATGAAGCTTGATCCCTTTATTAAAAAGAAAAGCAACATTGATAAAGTTTTGATTTTATTTCAAAATACTTTTTATTTTAAATTTGCAATAAAATGTAATTATCTTTAGATATTTAATCTTTTTTTTAATGAACTTTAGATATTTTATTCTTTACTAATGAAAAATACTAATAAGTGGAGTAAGAGTTTGTTATAAAATAAATAAATGTTATGAAAATAAAAAAAAATGGTAAGATATTAAGAAGAGAACGAAATAATGAATAGAGATAATAATTATGACGGCAAAAATATGCTTTTAATCCTTTAATTTTATGTAGGATTTTAAATTAGTTCATTAACTTCAAAAAATATAACTTTAGTCATTTAATCATTTAAGTTTGAAATTTTTAATTAAAAAATGACGATATTAAAATCTTAAATATTAATAAAGTATTTTCAATCTTAAATGTTAACATACTAAGTTTAGTTTTAAAAAATAACCATAATTATTACAAAAAATTATTATTTCAACATAAAAATTTAATATTAAATAATTAAAAATATATCTTTTAAAATTAAGAAACCAAACTAAAATTTTATATGAAATTAAAGGATCAAATATATAAATTTGTTTAATTATGATTATCCATTTGATAAATAGATCAGGCGTTATAAAAATAAAGAAATATTCTCTATTATCCCTCTTCTCTTCAATTATCTACTTATTTTCTCATTGTTTTGCTGATTTTCTTTTATTGTCATAATCTGATCACTTGAAGTTTCATGCCCATCATCTGAAATGCATGATACTTTTACCTCTTATTATCTTATAGTATCTATATTTCATATTTTATGATTTATCGTCTAAAAATTCAAGATCTATTATTCTATATATAATGATTATAATTAACAATTTAATAAAAATTCATTTTTTAAAAGAAAAGTATTGAATGTGTGTATATTAAGTGGTAAGAGTCACGTACCTTTAATTTTTTTTTATCTTATTGAACGACCAAAAGTTGTAAAATTTTAATTTTTTATCTTATAATTAAACGGTCAAAAGTCACTTGGTCTTAATCTTGAAAAAGATTGAAGTGTGGTTTATTTATTAATATTTCCATGCGCTGAACCTATGATATTAATAAATACACTAACAATTTATTATGCTTTAGAAAAACATTATTCTTGACTATCTTCTTTTGGAAATATTAGAATGTTTTCCTCCTTGTGAATGGTATGATCTACTTCATAGCATAAAAAGACCTCTTATATTTAAACAAGTCAATATTTTATATGTTGCTAGATTTATTCTTTTCTAATATTATATTTTTTTAATCATATTATTGTCATGTCAAATCTTATAAAATTTGAGTTTGTTGCTATTGACTTTACTGAAAAAAAATTATTTATATTGAGTGCTAGATGTCAAAATCCATCTAAATATCAATAATTTGGAAGACACAATTAAAAAAAAAAGGTAATTAAGCATCTAATCAAGATAAAGCCAAAGCTTTTTATGCCACTATTTTTATAAAAGGTTAAAAATTGAATGTTTAAATGTAAAAGACCTATTTGTTATTTGGAACATCTTAAAAGAAAGGTATGACCATAAAAAAAGCTGTTATTCTTTCAAAAAAACTTCTTATAACTAAATTCATTTATATCCGTAAGATTTTAAACTCGTGAGTGAGTATATAATTTTGTAATATTTAAAATAAGCTTTCTACTAAAATCATGTGAGAAAAAGTTACTGACGATGGATGTTACAGAATTATACATACATGTTTAAAGTCTTGCGAGTATAAATGCATTCATAGTTATAACAAACTTATGAAAAAATAATAGTTTTCTGGTACTCATACTTTTGTTTTAAGCTAATCTAAAGAATAAATTGATTTTTTATGGTCAAATACTCAATTTTTAGCCATTCATGTATATGTTGGCATATAAAATTTTGGTTTTATCTTGGCTAGATGTTTGATTGTCTCTGATTGTATTTTCCAAGTCACTGGTATTTAGATAAATTTTTGCATCTATTACCCAGAGTAAATTATTATTTTTCTAATAATATCAAAAACCATAAACTCAAGTTTTGTAAGGTGCCTATGATATTATTATAAAAAAGAACATAATATCTGAAAAGATAAAGATAATAATCTATAAAATATTAACCTGTTTACATATAAGATGTTTCCTTCCCTTTTCGAGCTAAATACAAGATGTTTCTTAAACTATATAAAAGAAATCATATCATCCAGAACAATGAAAATATTTTAAATTGCTCCAAAAGAAAACAACTAGGAATAATGTTTTTCTAAAGCACAATAATGGTTAGGATATATCTATCAACATTATAGGTTTATCTTATGAAAATATTAGTAAACAAATCACGTAGTAATTCTTCTCAAAATCAAAGCGACATGGCTTTTTTCTCATTTAATAAAATAAAAAATTAAAGTTATATAACTTCTGATAATAAAATAAGAAATCAGAGCTATATAACTCCTAGTTGTTCAATTTAAACATATTCAGTACTTTATCCTTTTAAAAAAAGAAACGCGAACTTTTATCAAATGGATAATCATAATTATGAAATGTAGATGTTGAATATTTAAACAGTAAATCATGAAATATAAAGATAAAAGCTTTAAGAAAATCAAAATATCATACCTTCTCATCAAGGCCAAACCTTTTAAGTGATCAATAAGAAAATTTCAATATCTATACCTCCTATAAGTTAGTTAGAGACTCATGCTCATGACATATTATGGAAACAAGGAAAGGGACAAGATATTCAACAAGAAAATAAAAGAATATGTAGAGAGTTGGATTGAAGAAAAGTGAAAGAGAATATTTCTTCTTTTCCACAATACCAAAATACATAACCGCTATTTATATAGACACAACTTTATAATTTTCATCTTAATAAAATCTACCCATTCCATAATAATATAAGATAATAGAGATAATAAGGGATAATGCGAGATATGCGGAGATTCACATCAATATCAATATCAATATTATATTCATAACAATAAATAAATTTGTAAATTTTAATTAAATAATATTAACTAAATTGAGAGAATTTGAAAAAAAATATTTTTGAATTTCAAAATACCAAATCAATATTATTCACTATATTTTAATAACAATTGATAATATTTAAAAAATAAATAGCAACACATTTTTATACTCAGTCTTAACTTGGGATTTTAAAATTTTAGAAGTGTTTTTTTTTAGATTTTCTCAATTACATTTTACTGCAATTTTTATAATAAAAGCTTTTCTTTTCTTTTTCAAAAGGTTAAGATGTAATTTTGACCTGATCTTATTTTTCAAATATAATTTTACCTTATCTTTTTATTGGTGTAATTTTAACATTAATTTTATTTTTTGAGTGCAATTTTACCCCTTTGCACCTAAAGATGAGGGCAACACTACACTTAAAAATAAAATCATAACTAAAATTACACGAGTAAAATTACACCTTAATTCCATATTTGGATAAAGAGAAAATGAAAGAGGAAAGAAAATTAGGAAGAAAAATAAAGAGAAAAATGAGTTTTTTTTCCTGTTTGGATGGGGAGAGAAAACAAGAGAAAAAGAAAGGTAGGATTTATGAGAGAAAATGGAGTGTGTCGCTTGTGTCATTTTCTTTTCAATTTTTTTCTTCACGTATCAAGAAAAAATAAGAAAATTCATATTTCTTGTATATTCTACTTCATATTAGATGAGTATACGCATGTTTTGCTTTTAATGCAATTTTTTTAATTTTATATATGACTACTTTATAATTTAGCAAAATTATTTCATTGCAGCCAAATAATATATATTTTACTTATTTTCTTTTATCATATTTAAATTTTTTATTATATTTAATTAAAAAAATTATTCATATTTTTTTCTATTAAAAATAACATTTTTTTACTAAATTATTTGATTTTTACATATAATAATATGATAACATACTTTTATTAATTAATTTTATTTTAAATTATTTGATAATATCAATATTCATATAATTTTTGAACTGAGATATTTAATTTGATTTCAAACATCATATATTTTGAGATAAAATTATTTTAGTTATTTACATATTTGTTTTTTCCCTCTATTTTTTATCTTTTATTCAAAGAAGATGTGTAATAATATTTTTTCTTCATTTGTTTTTTTAAAAAATAAAAGCTGTTACCCTACGAAGTCCAAAGAACCAGAATGTTTCTGAACGGAAGTCTCATTTAGGTACCTTCTTTGCTTGCTGTCTAGGGTTTTGGCAAATTTGCTGTATCTTCTTCTCCTGTGCCTCCCTCATTTGCATCCTTCATTGCAACCCACGAGTGAAGCTCAATGAGCAACGACAAGGATAATCTCAATATGCAGGATCTTAGCTCTGGTGATATACCATCTCTTATCTGTTCAAATCCGCTTTCCCTTGAAATCTTTTGCATTTCATCTTCTTTCTAGCTGGAATTTATCCTGCTTCTCATCTTGTTTATTTTTCCGTGAAGCTCTTAATGAGGATGATCGAACAGACCTCGTCAATGCTCTCAAGGTCTGTATACTCCTTATCAGTTACTTATAGTGTTTGATATTTGCTTTGTTTGAGTTGTTTGCTTCAAGGGAAACTGCTGGAGGGGAAAATTTCTCTTTTTTAGTTCCCTCGGAAACTTAAGCTTATTTTACTCTATTCTTGTAATTTTTTCCTAACCAATGCTGTGTGTCGTTGTGCATTGAATTTTGTATTCCCTTTTCATGTACTGTTGATTGCGGTTTATTGCCAATAATCACTGGGAATTAGGGTATTAACGTCAAGTTCTTTTTTTGCGTTGGTTTGATTTTCACTGATTTGGAAATTCTCTTTTGCAGAATAAGATACAGAGTTTGGCTGGTCAGCACGCAGACGTTCTAGAGAGTCTATCGCCCAATGTCCGGAAGCGTGTTGAGTTTCTCAGAGGGATTCAGGCATGTCCTTGTTTTCGGAATAAGCGTAACAAATTATAATGCTAATTTCCAGGGGTTTAATTTTCTTCCGCATGTTTGTTAACTGCTCCTCTGTTCGAAATATACGATCTTTCACTTAGATTTAGAGATGCGTTGCAATACAGGGTGTAAATAATTTTGTTGCTTGCCGATATAATATGGTAAATTTTTATTTTTATTTTCATCTTAAGCAAGGTTGTGATATGGTGCATACGCTAAAAATTTGGACGAAGGTAAAGGTGGGTCAATAGCTTGATTCTAAACACTGTTGGATGTAAGCTGCTTAAATATTTATGGAGTTCGATTGAGTAATGAAGCTAAAGTTGACTTATGAACTGACCCAGGAATTTTGGTGTCCTTACACTTTTTATGACCTCAGAAATCTGACTTTCAACTCAGAAGCGTCTGGGCATAACTGTGATTGCATATCATTCATCTTGGAGAGTTGAAATTGGATCATAATTCGTGTTCGTTGATAATGTATCTGTTCAGATGGAGATGGCAATTTCTGTGTATTCCATGAAATCTCACAATGAAATTTCTTCCTCTTGCAGAGTCAACACGATGAATTAGAGGCAAAGTATTTTGAGGAGAGGGCAGCTCTAGAAGCAAAATACCAAAAATTGTATCAACCTTTGTATACAAGGTATTTTCAGTATTCTATACTTGTAAATATTGAAGATGATGAATTATGGTTGACATAAATGAATATTGCTCTTCCGTAATTCTAAGGCTGTATAGTTAAAAATTGCGGATTTCTTATTTCAATTTTAATGTTTGTGTCCATTCTTTATTTATTATAACTCCTAATATTCTTGATTAAATTAAAAAGCTCTCTCTTCCTAAAATTTTGGGACATTTGATTTTTGTTATCTACCACTATAACATTTAACGTACGAATACAGCGCTATGACATTGTAAATGGTGTTACGGAAGTTGAAGGAGTTGCAGATGAAGCAGCAGCTAGTACAGAAGAGGAGAAAGGTACCATACATAATGCCTACTCTATTCTTTGAAAAGGGTTTCAGTTTTTTGATTTACTTGTGTGCTTATGTAGAGAAAGGTGTACCTGCTTTCTGGCTCACTGCAATGAAAAATAATGAAGTGTTAGCTGAGGAGGTTTGTCAATTGAGTTTAATCTTTACAATCTATTCAATTCTGAGTTTCATAGTCTTGGTACTAGCATAGTTAACTTATATATGTGTGTGTATACATATATCTCAGATTTCTGAGCGAGATGAAGGTGCTCTCAAGTTTCTTAAAGACATTAAGTGGAGCCGGAATGAAAACCCTAAAGGATTTAAGCTGGAGTTTTTCTTTGATACCAATCCTTATTTTAAGAATTCTGTCTTGACCAAAACTTATCATATGATTGATGAGGATGAACCTATACTGGAGAAAGCAACTGGGTATGTTCTTTCTTTTTTGATTCACTCCCTACATCTAGTCCCCGGTGTACAGTCACATTACTAAGGCTGGTTTATTGCATTTTTCTTGTAGGACGGAAATTGAATGGTATCCAGGAAAGTGCTTGACGCAGAAGCTGCTTAAGAAAAAGCCTAAGAAGGGTGCAAAGAATGCTAAACCAATCACCAAAACTGAAAATTGTGAAAGTTTCTTTAATTTTTTCAATCCACCACAAGTTCCTGAAGATGATGAAGATATTGACGAAGATATGGTATGTTTCCATGTACATGATCTACGGGCTAGTGATTTTGAATATTTTTCTTTCTCTTATGTCAGTCATTTTCTTTTTGAATAGGCTGAAGAACTTCAGAACCAGATGGAACAAGATTATGACATTGGGTAAGCTTAATCACGTTTAGTAATGTAATCTTTCAACCAACTGTTGACTCTGGATTTCACCTTTTCGGTATTTCATATTTCATCTTCATAATTTTGTGTAATTTCTGAATCACTTTTATTTCTCTGTTCAGGTCAACAATAAGAGACAAGATTATCCCCCATGCTGTTTCGTGGTTTACTGGGGAGGCCATTCAAGGAGAGGAGTTTGGAGACATAGAGGATGATGAGGATGATGATGAAGACACTGAGGAGGAGGATGATGAAGAGGAGGAGGATGAAGATGATGATGAGGATGAGGATGAGGAAGAGCAAAAGAGTAAAAAGAAGGTAATTTGTGCAGATCGTTCCCTTTGTATTTTGAAATTACTTTGTTTTTATTTACTGTTTGAATAGGAACTGATGATTATTTTCTTTCACCCTTTCCGGTGTCAAATTTTGTTTGGAATGCTGCCTGCAGTCATCAGCACACAAGGTAAAGAATCGTGATATGCAAATGAGATGATATTAAGCACAGACAAAAAATCTACCACAGAAAGTTTTATCAACTCCTGTTCTCTACTATGCGGCCCCAGTACTTAACAAAGCCAATTATGCCAAATACATGTCCAAAACAAATTAGACATGGCATTTGGAATTGAATTTGTTCATAAGATGCTCTGTGGTGTTGTTTGTTGTATTAATATCGCTATCTCAGTTTAATAGGTTCTTTGGTTTTATGGAGTTTGCTCTAATTCAAATTTATTTTTCTGTATCTTCAGAAGAGTGGAAGAGCGCAGGTAGGTGGTCAGACGGGTGAGCAACCTCCAGAGTGCAAGCAGCAGTAGCGGAGGTTGTTTTGTTGAGTTTGTAGCTGTGTTTAGGTGCCTGAATGAATGCTGCTGGGTCAAAAAATGGGTGCAAGTGAAGCAGTTTTTGATGGTTATTTATTCATTCTTCTCTCTTAATCTTATATGATCTGAGTGGTTTTGAGAGTTGCCTTCTTTTTCCCCAATCTCTCTGCAGAGAATGTGGTTAGATATAGTTAGGGATGTTGTGATTTCTCAATGCTTGAATTTGTATCTCAGACACTACGGTTAATTATATATATTGTGTCTTTTAGTCTTTACAGCTCCAAATTGTGTGTCTGCCGGCATATATTTTCTTCCCCAGGATTTCAAATTTCAAACTCCTCAAGACAAGTTGCTGCTGTTTTTTAAAGGGTGATTGGGTAAAACAAAATCATAGTTTTAATAGAACTTTTACGTAAATATGTAGAGGAGTTTATTTCAATTTGTGAAATAGTATATTTGAAAAGTATTTTTGGAGTTGTCCCAACACTTTCTTAGTATATTTAGATGGGTTAATTAATCTGGAAGTTCTTATAGTTTTAACCAATTTTGAATTAGGTCCTTATAGTTTTTTTTCTTTTTATCAGGTCCTTATACTTTCATCTATTTTTAATTAGGTCCTCGCATTTATTTTTCTTTTTATTAAGTCCTTATAATTTCACTAAAATTTTAATTAGGTCCATCTAGTTTTAATTTTTATTTATTAATTAAATATGAACTTAATTAAATAAATTAGTACTGAAATATAAAATATTAATAATTATATAATAAAAGATAAGTAATATAATTAATTAATTAAGGAAATTTTTTTAAAACAATTAATTTTTTTTGCTAAAAAAAATAAAATTATTATAATAATTCATTATTTTTAGAATATTATTGTTTATAAACTAATATTACATAATATATACTATTTTATGTTTATAAAATAGTACTATTAGAATTTATAAAATAAAGAATAAAAAATTCAGGGACTTACTTTAAAATAAGGTGATCTTATAAGGACTTGATAAAAAGAAAAATAAATGCAAGGACCTAATTAAAAACAGGTGAAAGTATAAGGATATAATAAAAAGAAAAAAAATTATAGGGACCTGATTCAAAATTGGTTGAAACTATAAGGACTTGCAGATTAATTATCCCTATTTAAATCAGCAATAAAAGATCTTGTTTTTTTTATTCACATTCTCTCTACTATCCATACCCGTCGGTAGATAAAATTCCTAATAAAATACTCTCTCCGTTTCTTATTATAAGAGACATTTGATACTTATGGCATGTTCCTATATATAAGAGACACTTACAAGTTGTCTCTACTTTTTTGTGTTGATTTACTATTTTACCCATATTTATTATCTCCAACTCACACTCTCTCTCCCTCCTACTTCTCTTTTAATAATTTAATTATTCTCTCTCATGCTCTCTTTCCTTATTAATGAGGGTATTTTTGAAAAAAAAATTATACTTTTTGCACATTAATTATTCTTAACTAATTTTAACTGTTTTTTTTATCAATGTACTTCAGTTATTTGTCTCTTATAATAAGGAACAGGGGGAGTATCAAATTATTAAAAACAACTTAATTCACAGCTGCTAGATTTTCGTCATCACAATTTAAAACTATAATAACCATATTGGAAACATAATTTTAAAAGACATTAAAATAAAAGAAGAATGCAAGAGACACAGATGGGATGAATTCTACTTGCCAAAAAAATTTCCGACAACGACGCTTCCAACAACGGTGGACTCTTCCAAGGCCACTGCAAGTATCAAGGGTTGTCCACTGAATATTTTAATTAGATGCATTTCTCATTATATTAAAAAGATCATTTTTTTTGCCCGCATATAAGGAGTTTAAACAAGCTACATTATTGTTGGCAAAAAATAAATTTAAAAAAAAATTGAGTTACATTATTCATTACATTTTTGAGTGTACAAGGCAAAATTTTCGTCTCATATTTATCTAGTATAAAATTAATTTGACATTAAATTTATTTACTCTATTTTTTTCATGGAGAATGGCCGACCTCTTACCGGCGACACAACTATTCAAAATGGAGGGAAAAATAGATTAATTAAACCCCCAAAAACCCTAAAAAAACGCGGCAGTGGTCTTGTCTGAGAGACTGACGGTTCACGGTTCAAGTTTGTGCTTGTCCATGAGTGAAACTCTTGCTTCTTTTGCTCATAACATTGTTTAATGTTCGAGAAAGTTTCTGTCCTTTTGGTCATATTGTGAAGTTGGGAGGTCAGAATCTGCGGGGTGCTACTATGTCCAGGCTGCTTCGTAAAACTTGCCTTCTCAGGAGCTCTCTTTTCGGCCATGACGTTACTACAATGGTACGGCTCTATTTGTTTGAATATTCTTGTTTTGCAACCTGTACATTATTAGTATGCATGGCAATCGACTCTATTTTAATCGACATTCCTTTTTGGCTGTATTCTGTTGCACGAGAAATGTTCCACTGTCCCCTCCTTCCCCTCCTTGTTTCTATACCTTCTCTCTTGAGTTGAGGGATTCTGTTACAGCTCGGTCATCTATTTGTTGTCTACCCCGGGCCCCCATTTAAGGAAGGGTTTGTTTGAACTGTTAGTCGTGAAAATCTGATAAAGTACCGGCATAAGCTTTTTCCTTAATCGCCTTTCTCAGGAATATATGTCTTTATGTTTTTCAAGGAAAAATATTATGGCCATTTGGGTTTGGTATGTGGTCAATTATATACTTATAATTGTTTACCCTTTTTCCAGGGCTTTAGACATGGATTATTGGCCACAGCGCAAATTTTAAGCTTCTCAACTCGAGGTTGTTGAAGAATGCATTTTTCTACCCTCCCCTGTATCCTTAGCTGATGATAAGAGGCTTAATTTATTTTGCACCATTAATTACGCCAAAGGGATCGCCATAAGTCTTTGAAATTCGTTGTCTCATTATTCCCTTTAAGGTTCACTGATCTTATCATGACGATGATGATGATAGCTCTTATTTCGGTCTACTTGAAGGTAAAAGGGGGTCAAAACCAGATGGAATTGATTCATGCGAAGAAAATATGTCTAAGAAAGAGTTAGCCCTACAACAAGCTCTGGATCAGATCACTTCTGCACATGGAAAGGGATCTATCATGTGGCTTGGTCGCTCTGTCTCTGAAAAGCATGTACCTGTAGATGTAGTGTCAACTGGTTCTTTTGCGCTTGATATGGCACTAGGAGTTGGTGGACTTCCAAAGGTATCTTTAGATCCTTGCTTAAAGAAGTTTCTTTCTCTTCGTTGGATATGAATAGACTTTAAAAATCCTAGTGGCTGCTAGTTGTATATGATTGTCATCACTAACAAATCTTGATAATTGACAATTTGGCTTTTATAGTTTGCTACGAGTAAAAAGTTGTTTGGGAAATGAAACAGTGTGCGATTCAGTTTTCACAGACAAAATTGGCTTTTGTATATTGGAAGGGACGAGAGAGCCAATATTATTCTGCAGTGTGCAATACATGTACGCTGATTGATATGCTTCAGTGTGATATTTGTAGGGACGTGTTGTGGAAATATATGGTCCGGAGGCTTCTGGGAAAACTACTCTTGCCTTGCATGTGATTGCAGAAGCGCAGAAGCAAGGAGGTTATCTTTATATGTTACTTCTGCAATCATTATTATACTATTTATCGCGTTATATGCTTTGTTGGGACTATTATTTCTGTAGATATGATGACCTTTTAAAATTGCTTTTAACCTTCTCACTTCCCTTTCTCTGGATATTTGCCTGAGGTATTACTTAGGATGGACACAGTCGTTTGTTTGACTAATAAATTTATGCGTAAATCATTTTCATGAAATACTCATTTGACCAACATTATTGATGGCGTTGAATTGTTGGTCAAAACCTTATCTCATTTAATTTATTCTATGCTTTAACATGCTATGCCAACAGTTTATTGGTGCTTGCAGAATTCCATTTGCCCAAAAGAGGGGCACACTGTTATTGTTACCTTATTTTGTAAATTTTACGTGATAAGTATTTTTAGGAAACTTTGAATTATCTAGACTTATTTTCCTGTTCTTTTAATGATGAAGAGGGGAGGTCTGCAATTTCAGCCAGTTTGATCAACATGCCAGAGTATCTCTATAAGTATTTTGTACTTGTTTGTTTTATGTAGGCTATTGTGCTTTTATTGATGCTGAGCATTCACTTGATAAAACACTCGCGGAGTCTATTGGTGTTAATACTCAGAACTTGCTTGTCTCTCAACCTGATTGTGGTGAACAAGCACTTAGTCTTGTTGATACCTTAACTCGAAGTGATTCAATTGATGTAATTGTTGTTGATAGTGTAAGTATGGAGATTTATTTTTTAATTTTTGTTTTCTCCACTCTTTCTGGTTGGTCTTTGACTTTTGTGGGTACTTATACTTACTGCTATGCTATTGAGTGTCATTTTATGCTTTCTGCAATATACTCTTCTCTAATTTGTGGTTTTTATGAGTATCATTGCTTGCATGTCTCTGCTATTATCTGTATCGCACTCCAATATAGTGTAAAACCACTTACCATGAGAATGATGCGTGTGATGGTGATAGTGTTGTGGAAGCAATGAGTTGTTTTAAGAATTGCAATAGGACTGAATTTAATTTAATTTTTATTGTAAATATTGCTGTTTCTAATAATTTGAATCTTCGTTACTGCCTACTAAAGTTTTTTTTAATGGAGTTATGTGCTTACTGCCCGTGTTGTTTCAGTTTTTCCCCCTCTTCTCTCTATTTCTCGTACCCTTTTAACTTGAACATGATCGACATTATCTTAAATTGTTTTTCATTGAACGGAAGATTTTATAGTTCTTGGATATATGTGTGCTAACGTTTTGCTTTGTGTCCAATGATAGGTAGCTGCTCTTGTTCCTAAAGGCGAGCTTGAAGGTGAGATGGGTGATGCTCACATGGCAATGCAGGCTAGGTTGATGAGCCAGGCACTTCGAAAATTGTGTCACTCTTTATCAATGTCCCATTGTATATTGATTTTTATAAACCAGGTACCAGCAGAGAATATATGGTATCTTTAAAAGCCTTCTGTTTGGACAAAACTTAAATGATCCTACTCTCTTCTTCTTCTTCCATTTTTTATATGTTATCTTTAAGAGCCTTCTGTTTGGACATGGATGATGTTCTCTTTTCCAAATTTCTTTATATGGGAAAGTATTGTTGGTATTCTCTAGGTAAGATCATAAGATGTGTGCTCTGGAATATACTTTGGGCGGTCTGGGTTTGTTCAAATTAATTGAGAGATGCTTTTATAATGATTCAATCGTAAATGATTCTTGTATGCTTCTGCAGGTGAGGTCAAAGCTTTCTACTTTTGGGGGTTTTGGTGGGCCATCAGATGTTACTTGTGGTGGTAATGCATTGAAATTCTATGCTTCAGTGCGGCTAAATATCAAACGAATAGCATATGTTAAGAAGGCAGAAGAGGTACCAAGAATGTGCTTTTTGACCCTGCCTTTTTGCCTCTTGCTATATTGTTTAGTTTGCCATTTCAAATGCTAGTGTTAAATAAGCATGAAATAGATAACTAAGGGTTAGCCGAAATTGAAACTATAAGCTGCTTCTTCTAGTTACAATTTAGTGGGAAAAATGAGCGATGTCATGTTTTTGAACTTAACAGCATCATCTCCAGCTAGTCATATTTATAGGCATCAGAGAAGTAGAGAACTATATCTTGAATAGATTTACTGCTAATTTCTCGATTGATTTTATCCTCATCCAACAGATTCAACTTTGTTCCGGGCTCCATGCCCTCTTTTATAGTTCTTCTCAAATTTTAAGTCTAAACTTTCCCTCTCTCCCAAAACTCTTTTATAAATTTGATCCTATCAGATTTTAAGAATCCAGTGCAGCACATGGGTCAGAATTCCAGTTGCTAGTATATACTCCCTCCAGTTCAAAATATAAGCATCAAATAACTAATTCACACAATTCAAAAAGTTAGTTAAAAATAAACATGTAAAACAATGCAACCTATTTTTCCTAAACACCCTTATTTATGGAGAGAAGTAAGCAGGAAGGAGAATGAGTGGAAAAAAGAGATGAGACATATAATTAATTATGGGTAAAAATAGAAAAAATATATTAAATGATCAGACAAATCAAAAGTGATGCACATAAAAAACCAAACTCCTTCAAAGATTTGATGCTTATATTTTGAGAGTATGAAACATCATTTTGGTATTTTTAACATTTAAGCATCTGTGCCTTTTGATGGATATTGGAGTCATCTTAATCTTGTTGAACCTAATGGCTCTCGCTGGTTAACTTAAATATCATAAGATCAATATTTTTAGAGCATGATATTTTTCATATGATTCTGGCTTTCCTCCTTCATTGTGTTTACCCTGCATGTCGTGCAGACTCTAGGAAGCCAGGTCCTTGTCAAGGTTGTGAAGAACAAGCTTGCTCCTCCATTTAAAACTGCACAGTTTGAGCTTGAGTTTGGCAAGGGTATATGTAGAGAAGCAGAGGTCTTAGATTTGAGCCTAAAACATAAATTCATCTCTAAGTCTGGTTCATTTTACAACTACAATGGCCAGAACTTCCATGGCAAGGATGCTCTTAAGAAGTTCCTGGCTAGCAACCCTAGTGCTCAAGAAGGACTTATTCTGAAGCTGAGGGAGAAGCTTCTTACAGCGGTGACAGATGGAGATGTTACAGAAGTTGTATCACCTTACTCTACTGATGAAGAAGCTGCTGCTGCTGCTGCAGAAGCATGATTTTGCTGATACTCCCAAAGCATGCTTCACTTTATCTTTCCTTGCTTGGAGGCAGCCTTAAGCAACAAAATCCTCAAATGCTTGTGGTTCCGAATCATATGGCTCTTTTATCAATTAGTCCTCTCGGTTGCTTGATTGCTCACGTGAGGAAAGAGATAGAAATAGATGTGGGGTCCACCTGTCGTTGTGGGCCTCATGCGGATTCTATTCCATGCCTGTCTTCTTTCTTAAGCAATTAAGGGGATCCAAGTCCATTTACTGTACGCTGTCGCCATTAATGGAATCATTGGGTCATTGGTTCATGTGCAGATTTTGTATGGAGGAAAGGAAGTGTCAATTGATATATGTTTGCAATGCATGTAGTTAATCATTGAGCCATTGCCTATTATGTGTAAGCATATAACTCTTCATGTATAACATTTCTGGTGTCGTCTTTTTCTTCCTCACTCCTGTTAATTTGCCCTTATTTCCCTGTAGTGAAGCCTGCAGCGTAGAGAGTGGATTTTATTTTGGGAAAATTGCAATTAGGTCTCACTTAAGAGAATTAAATACAAAAAGGTTTATTAAAATCATGAAATTATTCTGAAGTCTCAAGAGATTTTTTTCCAATAAATTTTATTTGTTTAATTATCAAATTACCTTTTTTTTTTAAAAAAATTTGTATTGATAACTGAAAGAGCAGTAGTTGACAATTTAAGATGTAGGGACTGACAACTATCGTGGCTGATTTGACAACTTAGGGTGTGATATGCTAAGAAAATGTGTTATCAAACCAGCCGTGATAGTTGTCAATTCTTGCACCATAAGTTGTCAACCACTGCTCTTTCAGTTGTCAATGCAAACTTTTAAAAAAGAGAGGATAATTTGATAATTAAATAAATAAAATTTATTGCAAAAAAATTTCTTGGGACTTCAGAATAATTTTATGATTTGAAGGGATTTTTTTGTATTAATTCCTTTAGGTGGGACTTAATTGTAATTCTTCCTTTTATTTTCTCCCCTTGGGATTAATCAGTGGTAAAATATATGTACAGGGACTTTTTTTTTTAAAAAAAAAATTTGTTTTAATTATGTGTTTTTCTGGTTGGAAAGTTTTATTATAACAAGTTTTAACCTTGCTGGAAAATTGGGAAGTTAAATTAAACCACGTAATTAGACCAAATAACCAGTCAACGCTTGCAGAAATATCCTAGTTATTTACTGAGGCAGCTATCAGCACCTAACATCAACTGGTTTGATTAAACTGGTTGTTTAGGGTTTGTCTATAAAAACAGTCCCTTAATAAACGCAGCTGCCCCATCCCTGATGACAACCATGATTATCCATTGTGCACTGTGATGTGTCTTTTTTTTTTTTTTTTCAAAAACCAAAACCCAGTGCTGGTGCCATAGACAGTGGCTGAGTCAGGATTTAAGTACAAGGGGAACTCATATTCAAATATAGGAAAAGTTATTTATATTCATTATGTTATAGGGAACTTGACAAAATAAATATAAGAAAGTTGACATACGTTTTGTCCTAAAATGTACGCACACAATACAAAGTTTTTAGATTTCTCCAAATATCTTTTGGCAAAATCATAGTCATAGTATTAAAACTCAACTTGACGGTCAGATAAGTAAATCAGGCTATTAGATGGTCTAGTGAAGAGTTTTGAACAAGCTGATCGGGTCGGATTTTACTTTTTCCTCCTCTGACTGAGCATGAGTTGTCGTTGAATTGAAAAAAGACAAAGAAAGATAATATTCATTAATGATGTAGTAACTCTGTTTTATTAGGTTAAATGCGATTTACACGTAAATACTCTGTTCATTTTGAATTAATTTCCTTATCTATTTAAATTATATTATTTTAATAGTAATTAAATTCACCTTATTTCAGCCATGATTAGATTACTCACCTTCAAATCATCACTATTTCAACATGTTGAATGACCAATCCAATGCCTGGTCTTTTTCCCCTCGTTTGTTAGCTGATTGCTTTGAATCTCTCCCTCTCTGTCTCTCTATATATACATATATATGTGTGTGTAGAAATAATAAATCAGTTGAAAGGAATGTAAAGAATCATAAATGTGATGGGTTTGGACATTGGGGGAGCGCAGTCAAAAGCGCCGTCTGAAAAGTTTGAGTTTAGAAATTTCCACAGAAGAAAATTCATTGACTAACAATAAAGCAGTCTCCATCACTGCCTCGCTCACTGTACCTACGTGAACATGAATGAATCTCTGGGGCCCACAATATATGACGTGGAATTTAATGAGAGCCACATATTTAATTAAACAGAGCCACTCCCATGTATGGCTTGAAGTTTTAAAATTATAACACAGTTTTGACCATCTTTCAGTTTTTTGAATCCTCTCTTATTTTATTATTATTGTTCTCTTCCTGTCTAAAGTAGCAGTCAAAACTCAAAACAGGTAACGTGACACCTTTAATTATTTACTACCTCCGGTCCTTAATATAAGACTCCATTTGACTTTTATATTGGTTTTAAATATAAGACCCAAATTCATTTTGTCTCTCATATTTATACATTTTTTTCCAAACTAGTCCTTTTAATATTGATAGTTTTAGTCAAGACATTTGATTAGCAAAGATATTTTAGGAAAGACAACACCTATTTAAGACAAATAACTAACTCAACTTACTTCCTTAATCTCCTCAAATTAGTCAACTGGCTTTTATAATTAGGACTGGACGTAGTATATCACAGTCTCCTGTATTATTATTATTATTAGTTGAAAAAATTATACTATTATCATGTCCCAATAAAGAAAATCTTTGCTAAAAAAAATTATAGTCAAGATTTTTTTCCCATTTTTTTCACATTGAAACTTATTATTACATGCTTTTTTTTAGGATTTTATGATGACTTTTTCTTACTATGCTAAATCTTTCAAATTGGATAAAATTAAGAGGGAAAAACCAACACCATTTAATACTATCTCTAATCTTAATTATAAAATTTTATTTATAGTCTACAAATAAGATATATTAATTAGGATTGGGGTGTATATAAGCATGAAACTAAAATAAGATAAGAAGCGTCCGTTCAAATTTTAAAAAAATTAACTATTTAATTAAATATGAAATTAATACAACATCTGATTCCCAAAAAGAGTGGTGGGTCCCTGGGTCCCATCCACTTGAGTCAAAGCAGTGCCTCCAGGCATCCAGAGTACATATTGAAATGCTAGGCATGCACACACATGAAATAATATGTATATAATATAAAATAAATACATGGGTATATTTGGTTGGGGGCGCAAGTAAAAATTTGTGGAATAAATTATAGATGACGGCTGATGACGTGGGCTAGGGTTATTGGTCCAGGTGTCAGTCACTGTGCCAGGTCAGCAGCCACTCTTCTCACAGCTTCCTGGAAGGCAGCCTCGTCCCATTCACTCCCCTGCACACATAAAAGAGGACTCACTCAACATCATTATTCTCCACAAAAAAAGTTGCTACTTTTTGCCTCTTGCATTCCCCTGTATAAGCGTATATGCATACATGCTTTTTTCCTTTGATAAGACAAAGGAAGGTGTTGGATGGCTTAAATTCCAACGCCACATTATTATCACTCTTAAATATTTAGGTTGTTCTAATCAAATTTGAACAGCAAGTGTGTACTGTATACATATTTTTATACTATAATTTCAAGAAATTTAACATATTGATATTTAATCTGAATAATTTATATCAAATATAAATCATAAAATGCAAAAAAATAATGAGAAGAAAACATTTATAAGTTCTACGATTCTAATTATAAGATCTTGTTTGTAGACGAAGTCTTATAATTAAAACCGGAGATAGTATATAGCAACCACATGTATTGCTCATATTGAAATTGAAAAACCACAATCAGGAAAATAATTGAAATGTAAACCTACATTTAGTTTTTAAAATCTAAAAACAAAAAAAAAGTGTACTTAATTATAAGTATAACCACAAATAGTGCAAATAACATAATATTTATGAATAAAATGGATAAGGAGTTGAATAATAAGATGTTGAACATTTTTTAAGCAAAATTTGACCTGAGTTAAAAATCTAAATCAGTTGATATATAAGATGATTTATTTTTTTAAAAAAAAATATTTAAGGCCCTTTTGGTTATTTTAAGGGGGGAAAAAACAAGTCCTAGCATCATTCTCATGGAAGTAATTAAGAAAGCCTCTTAGTCCTAGTCATTCTCATGTCACATGTCAAAATCTGTAAGAAATCATTTTAATGATGCAAATAAATTACACATAAACAAAGTGGTTGTTATTCTTATTTGACGGCTGAGAAAAATAGAATCCTCTTTTTGAATGTTTGAATAATTTTGCGTTTTACATCTCATCAGCTTGATTGTGACTCTTCATGCCCACCTAACCAAAACAAAACCAAACTAACATGTTTGCACTTTCTTACCTCCTTCCTAAATTTTACTATGCCCTATACATATTATTTATATATCTATACACTATTATTGCAATCACTTCATCCTTTAGTTGTACCAATCAAAAGTGAATTCTAGGATCCAACAAAAAGCATACGTGACTAATATTAAGCTAGACTATTCTAAATCTAATAGCCTATATTTTTAGTATTCTAGAAACATGGCGACTATGTATCATATCAATTTGCCTTTAAGGTCCTGGCTAGTTCTGACAACTTGGTTTTTGAAATAAATGTATGATAATACTAATGAAGGGTCTAGTTGTGTGATTTATTATTATGATGTTAATTTTTATATATAGTTATCTAAGACATGATACTTTTCTGGTCCTAAATATAAGACCCATTTTGTAATGCAAATTACATTACAAAACGGGTTTTTATATATTTAGAACCAGAAGAGTACTATTGTGGGAAATATACTCACATACACACACATTCAAACATTATCGGATAGATAGTAATGTATTTGAGAAAATATCATTTACGAATGAATGAGGGAAAAAACTCATTATATATATTTTTTAAAAAAAGATCTTTTAATAAATCATAAAATTGTGAACCATGTATTATGAAAAAGGGTAGTTGTTAAAAATTATATTGACAATTTCTAAATGTGAGCCAAACATGAACAAGTCTTAGAAGCTAGGTCAATTATCAAGTACACGATCAACTAGCATATAATAAAAACTAATTAATGACAAGACACTGAATTAAATATGTTGGCAACTCTCCTTATCTAAACTATTAATTATTTTACTAATTTTAATCAAATTGCATTATTGATAAACTAATATATTAACTAGCTGAGCTAAGGTGTTATATGTACTGAGAAATAATTCCCATTAACGGAACGTTTACTACGAATTTTAATTTATATTTTATATTAGTATTAATTAATTAATTTATTTTACCATTTTTCTGGTATAATTTCATGAGGTTTTCACGTGGAAAGGAGCATACCTCAACCCTCAGTCTAACGGTGATACGGTTGAAGGAAGTGGCGTGAGCTAAATGGGTGTTAGCTTCCATGGAAATCAAGCTCAGATTTTGATCTTGCTTCAGAAATCCCAGTAATCGAATTAGAATATCGACTTGAGAACTTTGTCCCCTCACCGTCACTTCCAAGTCCACGATTCTCTCTTCCGACGGGCTGGATGCTGGTTCGCGTGAAATTGTTCTGACATTTAACCTTTCGTTTACGATTTCATGATCATCGCCACTTGCTTCTTTCACAGCTGGTGGAGGAGCCGCCATTGATGATGATGATGTTGCTGCCTCCAGCCACTTGTTTCTCTCTCTAAGCTTTTCTGTCTCCGCCATTAACGAGCTCAGTACTTCCTTTGCTGTTGTAAGTATTGAAGCTTTGTCTTTCTGAAACAAACCCAAATCCACATTCTCTTATTAGGCTCTTGAAACTGCTCGATGATTTGCTCAAAAGAGAATATTATTTCTGAGAGGACTAATATATTTTCTGTGACGTTTGACGATTCACGAGCGTTAATCATATGATATTGAGTTCCTTAATCTAACAATTGTCTATTGGGTTTATTGTACCTTGGTTCCTGGAGGAAGAAGAGATCTAAGAGCCTGGAAGTTCTCGTTGAGCTTTTCACGCCTTCTTCTTTCTGAAATCATGTGATGAAGCTGTGTACTGCTGGCCGGGCGAGTTGTTTGAATACGTTCTCTCATTCTGATGAAATTCAAGCCTCTAAAGAATGTCAATGACCTCTTAAACAAACCTTGCCTGCGCAATTGACCTCCTGGTCCCATTTGGGAAGAAGGCGAGGGGATAATGGGGCTGTACCTCCTGAAGGCACTAGTCCCATCATGAGGATGAACCATATAATTAGGCAAATTCTGATGATGATGAAGTGGGGCTGAAGAAGAAGAAGAGGGTGGATTAGAAGAAGAAAGAACATGAAGGATTGCTCTCATTATAGCATCATTTTCAGTCTCTGGTGTGGGAAATGGGCTCTGTACTGTGGCTTGAGCTAATGCTTGGATGGCTTGCTGGTGTGAGCCAGAAGAAGAAGCTGTGAGGGATTGATGATCTTGAGGAAAATGAGGAGAAGATCCAGGAATGTTGAACAGAAGGGATGAGTATTCAGGGCTTCCTGCAGATAGTGAGAGTGATCTCAATGAAGATGAAGATGATGAAGGTGGATTCTGACTCTGATCAATGTTTGCCTGCTGATTTGATGATGACTGTAATCTGGAAAATTCATCCGGAAACCAATTCCTTAGTGCTGTTTGAATATCATCCTGCGCATCAAAATCAAAAACTTCATGAGCATATCAGAGACATGAATCATTTATTCTGAAATACCAGATATGATTTGCTTACTTGAGACATGTCTGGGAATCCAAGTTCCATTTCTCCATTGTTGCACCCCATAAAGACAGCCGTCTGTGAACAAGGCAACAAAACAATGGCTTTAGAAGGTTGGTTGAATTTTCTGCATAATTAACTTCAGCAATCAATTTTTTTCATGTATTCAGTTCATTATTCTTCACACAGCAGACCTTAATCCTTGCTTCCTGCAAAAAGATAAAAAGGTTAGTTACCTTAATTAGCCCAAACAAATGCTTCATATTAAATCCTTATATTCAGCTCATAATTAATTACCTGATAGAATTGTGTCTGTATTGGGGTCCATGCCCGTCTTAGAAGATCTGGTTGCTGCAACTCAAGGTAGCTGCGGTTCTTGAAAGCCAGTCCTGGAATACGGCTATATAAAACAAAAACAACCGACATAAATAACTTTACAAATAAACAATACATAAAACACATACACTGAAACTCATATTCATTCACAGAGAAGGGAAAAAATGAGAATTACTCATTGACATCAAATGTTAAACTCCTATATTGGTCAAAAAGCCTTTGAGCTACACTAATCCCCGAAGAAGTGCTCGGTTGGTTGATTCTTACATTGAACAATCCATCCAAACACAGCAAACGGCTGCTCAGAAAAGCAAAAGCAATTCAGAAACGTAAGGACAAACCTATGACCAATGAAGAAACTCTATCATACAACAACAACACGTGTGTGTGTTATACTTGGATAAGAGGGAATCATAGGCCCAAAGACAAATGTATGAGCAGCCCGAGAACTGCACTATAGATTGCAGAAAAATAGCTCTGGCAGGCTCGGGGAGGGAGAAGACAGCGTCCATGGATTGATGCTAAGGAATAATAAACATAGGTTGTATTGTCATCATAGGAAGATGATGATCAGAAAATGTTGGGAATCTGATGTCTGTCATTGTAGTATGCTTTGGTTTATGTAATCTTCGGTGAAAAATGAAAGAAGCAACTCAACAGAAGACATATGTATGCTGTGGTTGGGGGGACAGGCCGCAGGAGGGAGGAAATGGAGGAGTAGTGAAAATTCTCAAGGTATAGAAAAATTCAAGGTGCTTAATTGTTTTGTGGTTGTGTGTGTGTGAATAGGAGGATCAGATCACAAAGGGTTTTGAAAAGTATATAGGATTGGGAAAAATAGAAGAGATTTTTAAATGAAATGTGAACACTACATAACTCAGATGCCATAAGAAAGCCCCACCTGGATATGAGAGAGCAGCCACAGAGAGAGAGAGAGAGAGAGAAGAGAGAGAAGAGAGATGAATTGTCTGGTTGTTGTAGGTAAGTGAGAGAGAGAGCTTGAAAAGTAGAAGGAAGCAGTGAACTTATACATATAATGAAGCAGAGAAAAGGAGAGAGAGCTGGAAAATAAGAGAAAAGTAGAGAGAGAGAGCTGGAGGGGGAAGGAGCGAAGTCAGTCCGCCAGGGGGGGAGAAGGTTGGAAAAGTAGAGAGTCAAAGGTCCATCCGTTCCTGCCTTGAAAAGTTTGAATTTTAGTCAATGGACGAAGCTACTTGCAAGCTTCCCTTTTTTTAATTCTCGGAGTTTGCCCCCTTTTTTTAAAAAAAGTCATGGCCAAAAATCCCTGTTGGTTTCTCAAGTTTACCCTGAATATTAACTTAGTTACTAAAATTTAGTTTTCTATCAATGGAAGTCCCTATAGTTTTATGATCATGCAAAATTAGTCCTCATGGTTTGAAAGCATATATTTTTAAAGCCATATGCGGTCTAATCATTAGCTTAAAGATGACAACTTATCTATGGATTGTAGAAAACATTGTTGGTCTGAAGAAACTAAATAAAAATATATAAAATTGTATTGGAAATTTAAATGATAAAAAATAAATTTTAGGTGCCAAATTTAAAGGATTAAAATTTTTATTATCTCAAGATTTTTTTGACAACTATTTTACTCGGATTATCTGGCAATAGATGTATTAGCTTAATTAGTGATCTCAAATTTAAGTTTTGGATATACAACTACTTCTTTTTTTTAAAAAAAAAAATTCTCTTCCCTCCTCTTATGGCAATGAGATAAAATTTAGTTTAACTTGAAATTAATAAGATTATTTATAACTTGTAAATATTTATTCTAAATTTTATTTTTCATGTAGATAAAAATGTAGTTTTGGTTGTTTAACTAGTTTTAAATGATTTTTTTTGTGTCAAATTTTTTTTTTAAAATTAAACATAATATGTTAGCACGAAATTTTTTTATCATTATTTAAAATTTTAATGACAGCATATTGTGTTAATAAAGTTAATAATATTAGAGTTAGAGGAATTAAAAAATATTTTATAAAATTTAAAGATTAAAACAAAGTCTTGTATAAGAAGTCAAAAGACGAAAAGTACTTTCGTCTATATATAAATATATGTGGATTCCAGCAAAATAAAAAAATTAAATTAACATGCGCGGACTATATATGCAAAATTATATAATAATCATGAGTGGATTGTGACATGCTATAGCCAACGTTCCCTCGGTTTTAAAATTCCTCCGATTTCGACATATTTAATTTTATCCTCAACTTACATTATTATTATAATTAATTTGATTGTACGAAGAGTTGTCACAGTTGAATGGGTTTATTTACATTATTATTATTATTATTATTATGTACTCTAAATTTTTTTAAAAAAATACCATTCGATGGCTATAATCAGTAATTATACACTTGGACTCTGAAATTTTCGTGCGTCCTTTGTAACTTGTTCATTATTTTATTTTATTTTTTGGTGTGAATTGATCCTTTATTTTTATTATTTGTTTCTTTCTCCAACTCATTTTTTTAATTTTATTTTTTTAAAATGGTAATAACTTTCCCACGTGCTCGTATTGCTAGTTCTTCCGAGTTCAAACTGTAATTAAATTAACTGATAGCTTTATTAATTTATAATTGATTTAAATTGAAAGAATCTAACAGGAATTTATGCAGTTCTTTAATGGCTTATTACTTCTTTTGGTGGGACCGTGAGCATTCTCATGATATGGATATACTCGCGGGTATAACTTCTTTTTTTAATCAATTTCTCAAATTGAAGTCTTCATTATTTCCGTGAGATTTAAATTTTGATGTAAAATAAATTCATTTTTGTGGCTAACGTAAAATAAATTAATTGACAGTTTCATGCATTCTTAATTCTTAATTTTGCAAAAAAAAAAATAAATATAATTTTTTATTTTTGGTCATCCGATATCTGACGCCTTTTCTGAATCATATTACTAGGTATATGAGTAACAACTTTTTCTTGCAGATAAAAAGCAAAAACAAAAAAAAAAACTTGTGTTTCTTTTCAAGAACTATACTTTTCTATCACAAAATTTATTGTCCGAAAATTTTACATTTTAGTTAAGAAAAAGGACAAAATTCTATCAAGCTCTACGATATTTATGTATGAACAAAAATCAAGTTACCTATTATAACTATTAGTCTCAAATTTTGATATTCAATTTGATCCTAAATATAAAACTTAATCTATTTTGTCTCTAATATTTATCTATTTTTTTCTCAAGTAATCCCTATAATAGTTGTATATATGAAAGAGTCACTATCAATAGGTAATTCAAACACACATAATTAATAAAGATATTTTAAGAAATACAATATCTATTTATTATTATAAACAACTAACTTAACTAATTTTTCTAATCTCTCCAAATTAATCAATTAGATTTTGTGTTATTATGTGTTTTATATTTCTTCAAGGAGCCATTTTACTATAGGCTGACAAAAAAAAAAGATACATAGTCATGTATAATCAGAGAACTTGATGTCATAGCTAGAAAAACTTAGTCTGAGTATTATTCCCTAGGTATAATATACTCCTCCGGTCCTTATTATAGGACCCAATTTGACTTTTTATTTGGTCCTAATTATAAGACCCAATCCATTTTCTCTCTTATATTTATGCATTTTTTCCAAGATAATTCTTCTAATAATGATAGTTTTAGCCAATATACTTAATTAGCAAGGATATTTTAAGAATAACAACACTTATTTATTATAAATAACCAACTTAACTTACTTCCTTAATCTCCTCAAATAAGTTAATTGGGTCTTATAATTAGGACCGGAGGAGTAGTATATAAACATAGATGAAAATTTTTATTAAATAATTTATTCCAAAAAAAAGAAGAACCTAGGTCATTGAAATTTTAATGGGTGAGTTTTTTTCTCAACTAATATGATACATAGATTCAACCGCGTATAATTACTCTTTTGGTTTTAAATATAAGACTCTTTTCGTAATATAAATTATATCACGAAAAAAGTCTTATATTTAGGATCAGATGAGTATATCTTATTTTGCATAGGCTTTTCATTTCTACAACACGGCTATAATCATACACTTGAACTCTGAAAAGTCTGTGATCTTCGTAATTTATCCTTTATTTATATTTTACTTTTGGTGTGAACTTATCTTTTATTTTTATTATTTGTTTCTTTCTCCAAACTCAACTGGTTATTTTTTCCCCCCTAGTTTCATTTATTTTAAGTGATTAATACCTTTCCCACGTGCTCGTATTCCGAGGTGATAACTCTACTTAGAAATTCAAACTATAATTAACTGATAGCTATATTATTTTATATTTGAATTAAGTTGAATGAATCTAGCAGGCACTATATATACTATTCAGCATTCACAATTTGGGTTCAAATACTGACGTGGTCATCAGTTTGATCTGAGTTCTATTAAATAAGTCTTTAAATTACTTTGGTTCCCATATTTATCTCTAATAAATACCATAAATTTGAAAAGCATGTACTTTTTCTATCTTCTAATTGGATATTGACAATAGCATTTTTTGGAATAAAACAATTAGTACGAGTTGACAAATTTCTCTAACACTGACTTATATATTGAATGATAAAATTCCACAACAAAGTAATCTTATAGTTTCGTTTTAATATAGGAACTAAATAACTAATTTATAGATATTAAAAAAATCAGTAAAATCAATTATTTATTAAAAAAATATGTGCTGGTTTTTTTAAGTATTGCTTCTAACTATTTGCATGAAAACCTCCTCTCTTGATTATAAAAAAAAAATTATTATGTGCAAAGTGCAATTAATAGAAAGAATTTTTGAGAGAAAAAAATTATAAATTTAGGAGACAAAATAAAATGAAATCTTACATTTAGAATAAAAAAAACTTATCCACTAACTCTTACATTTAAAATCGAAAGGAAAGTCGTGTTAATTATAAGAGGAGTATCGCTGAGGTGCGGACTCATATTAACAAAGAGGAAAAATCAGAAGAGTAAAGAGAAAATGTGAGAGCTTAATTGTCAATTATGCGTGAAACATGGACAATTATGAAGCATGGAATTGCAATCACAGGTTGGACCTATATATAGTACTTTAATGGTCCTCATTAATACAGTTCACTCCAGTAATTAGGACTATTATGATTTAATTTCCTCATAAAGATGCTTAGTCCTTGTTTAGGATATGATGATGTTCATGAACCCTCTCGTAATCACAAGCTGTACCTTGCATCAAAGTCTAAAAGTACACAGGGAAAGTTCATGCTAATAAGGCATTAGTCCAATAATTATAAGCTCCATTTGATGTTCAAATTTTGTCCCTTTACCTATTAATCCTAATTGCATATTTCTTCTTTTTCTTCAACTTCTTTTAGAGAAGAGATGCGGACGTGGAATCCACTTGGAGTGGGTCCCACTTCGTCATTTTTTCCTCCTAATTATACATGAAAGTAAATATGATTATGAATTTTAATGTTAATTTTTTAAGTCAGTATGGATAGATTAAGAATGACATAATCTAATTAGTTTAATACAAATGATTCTTTTCTTACAATTGTTTTGTTAAATCACACCGAACCAAGAGAATCCTACTAAAAGGATTTATTAGAAATGGCCTTCACTAATTTGAAAACTCAAAAGGTAAACAATGTCCTGTCATAGCATTTGTGAATACACCATATCTAATCCTTAATATAAAAATCAGTTGACTAATTTAAGTAGATTAAAAAATTTATTTAGTTAGTTATTTATAATAAATAAGAGTTATTTTTTTAAAAATACCCTGCTAGCCATGTGTATTATTTAATGCAATATTTAATATGGGTAACTATTACAAGAACTATTTTAAAAAAATAGATAAATATGAGAGACAAAATAGATTAAGTTATTATATTTAAGATTAAATTAAAAGTTAAACTAATTCTTATACTAAAGACAGGACAAAATGTGTGCATATATATATATATATATATATATATTATGCGCCAGAGGGAAATATACAGAGTTTTTGCGAATAGTTCTTCTCCCATGTGATTGTTTGATGGCAGGTAATGAAAAGTAGTGTTAGCATCACATGTGTTTGTTTGAAAGTAGGATTACAAGTAGATGCCTTTCTAGAATTTCCTTGGCACATGCAGCATCACTTAGGTTTGCGTTGAGATAATTTCATAATTTTGTATTTTTTGCTTTTACATATATAATGTATATGAGTATGTAGAATTTAGGGGGGAAAAGAACATGCTCGTCATAAATGATGATGAGCATAGCATGCTAGTCATAGATCTAGATCATTAAAATTAAAATTAAACAGTTCAGATTTAATAATAGTTTATTTTTTTTATTATAGATAAAAATTGAGAGGCCATATGATAATCTTTCTGATGTTAAAAAGAATTTAACAAATGACAATTAGCATATACTAATTAAAAACCATTTCATATCCACATAGGGGTGGGCAAGGGAACTTTTCATGTCCTCCTCCACCTCTTCCAACATAATTGTCAAAGTTCAAAATAAACCTAATTATTTTGTGATAAGAAAAGAAATTGAAAGCGGAATAAGTAATAAAAACCCCATTTAATATATGTCATTAATAAAGATAATTTTAAAAAATTATAAATTTGAAAAAACATAATGGATTAGCCTTCTATATTTAAGAGCAAAACAAACTCCTCAACTAGCTCTGATATTTCAAATAAAAAAAGATTCTGAGTCTTACAAAGGAATTATTCATAATTGAAAGCATCGGTTTGAAATATCTAAATTTTAATTAGAAATAATTGTCTTCAACCTCTTTTTTTTTTTTTTTTTGAAATCACAAGATCCCAACGTGTCATTGTCCAAGGAGACCACTTGGCAATGGTGGGGTTGGAGGAGCCGTAACATAAGAACGTTTCTTTGGTATCTTCCAATTCCAAGGCTAAGTTGCCTTTGTTCAAAAAATCTCTCTAATTGCTCTCTGTCTCTTCTAAGGGACCACAACGCTTCCTTGTTGCTCAATGTTTCCGACTTGTTTGGTGCTCTCACTTGACCTTTCTTCTATGCCTTTTCTTGTGTTTGGGTAAACTACCAGTAATCATCCCTTTATGAATGATGCCAAAAAGGTTCAGCCCCCAATTTAGAATCATCCCCACTTCACATTCCCTTTCTCTGATGGATTATAATTATATCATTGAAATTTAAACTGCCACTACATTTCAATTCAATATCCCTCCATATCTACTAACTGTACTTAGCTATCTATATCTTTGTTGAATTCTGTGATTACTTAACTATAGGGGCAATAAAGTTCAACTTGTTAATTGTTATGTTCTCCATCCCTTTGACCTATGCTGAATTGAAATTTCATTTTCCCTTAAATATATATGTCATATTTCAAATTCAAGATATAATTATTACTGCTTATTTTCTCCGGAGGGCATTAAGTGGAGGAAAAAATGGAAGAAGAAAAAAATTCTTGCAGAGCACATATATTTTGAGTTTTCCTTAATCTATTACTACCTCCGGTCCTAAATATAAGACCCTGTTTGACTTTTATTTTGGTCCTAAATATAAGACCCCAATCTACTATGTCTTTTATATTTATACATTTTTTTTCAAAGTAGCCCTTCTAACAATGATAGTTCTAGTCAATATACTTGATTAATAAGGATATTTTAGAAAAGGCAACACTTATTTAGGACAAGTAACTAACTCAACTTACTTCCTTAATCTCTTCAAATTAGTCAACTGGCTCTTATAATTAAGACCGGAGGTAGTATTATTTTTTTCATTAACTTGGCTTCAAGTTACAAACAAGAGGGAACATGTGACCTCCCATTAGCAAGAGAGTCTTTGTGCCACTAAGCTATGAGGTTATTGGCACAAATGAGCTTTTACCAAATTGACTTTTGGCCACTGACGTTGTAAAACCAACCATACACACGCACAATCCTATTATATCTGAAACATTCGTTGGGAGTTTTCACACGTCTTAAATGAAATAAAGTGGGCCTTAATAATGCAAGAAATGTGACATTTTGTGGGCTGGGCCTCAGCATTTTTGTCTTCTTAAATTTCCAAAACGACATAAAACCCAGAATATGAGGATCATTTAGGCCCATAGATGAACATAGAACTGGAAAATATTCATGATCTACATGCGATTTACAACCTAGAACATGGAAAGAAAAAAAAATACAAACGATAAAAAGAGTTAGTTCCTCGTAATGTAATCAATCATAATCTAATTTTTACTGGAAGAGATATCCACATGTAATGCCTGAAAATGCGAAAATGCTTCGAACAAAATTGACTCTAATAAAATAATACCAGTACTTAGCCTCCCAAAAAAATAAAAATAAAAATAAAAAGAAGCAACAGACAGAGCCTTGCTTGCTTTTATGCCTTGGCTGATTTGCCCCGCTACTGAATGAAGCTGCCCTTAACATCCTAGTGGATATTGTGATTATTGCCACACCCCCCCCATCATTTTCCCAATTTCCATTCTATATAATTTAGTGGGTAAAGTAAGAATATACAACATGAATACCTACATATCTAGAGAGATGCGACTCATTCTTCTCTTATTTTCTCTAACTGCTACAGCAAGGCCAGGGGAAAAAAAAACGTGTGTGTATAGTTTACTTATCTTTCATGAATGCTTTTTAACTAGGTGGACCCCTCTGCAATCCATGATACATGAGAAATGAGCCCCAGTATCAACAATTTGTGAATATTTCCAACATCAATTATAAATATAATGAAAAAAATTTATACAACTAAAATTGGTATGGTAAATTTAGGGGAATGGGGAATTAATTAAAAAATATGTTTGGTAAAAAGGGTGAGTAGAAAAGGATTTAAGCAACATATTAATATTAACATCCTTCTCAGAGAACAACTTGTGAATTGTATCATATGGGCCTCTTGTATTATACAGCTAAAAAATGCAGAGAACAAAAAAGAAAACCCAACCAGCCAGTTCGGTTTGGTTGGATATTAAACTAGGAGGAGTTGAACCTATAGTGAACCAATAATAAACTGGTTTGGATGATTATGTTGTTATTAATCTTATTTTTTGTTATTTAGCTCCTAATATTTAAGCCCTTATAGATTTAAATGAATTTTAATAATGATTTTGATACCAATAATTACTAATTTTAGTTAATGATGAACCATAAAAATCAAAATTCTTAATATTGTTATACTTTGTTATTGTTACAATCAAACTATTGTCATATTTCCTCATATTTTGTTATTAGTGATTATTAATTTAATATATTTTGTTATTTTCAATTAAATTATATTATTTTAATATGACCGGTTGGATCCTAATTTGATTCTGATCTGACCCACTGACCTTTAAACCACTACCTTAATCGATTTAGTGTTCAGTCCGGTTTTTTGTTCCTTGAAAAAATGAATAGTATTTTTTTTTTACAACTTGTAAATTATGTATTTTACAAACTTTTTTTTTGGCTAGGCATAAGTATCCTATATTAGAGACAATCAAATACTAAATATTAATACTTTTCGCAATGAGGATTCAATATTTAGTATACCACATTGTAAAGACTAATATTTTTTTGTTAGACCCAACCACTATTAGTATATTATACAAATTTAATTCATTGTGGTATGACAATAAGGAGGGAAAGCTTAAGCCCAAGAACATATTAGTGTCATTAACAAGGGGGAAAAAAACAGAATTGGCTGGTTTAAACAAAAAACTAATGAATCAGCTAGTAATCTGATTTGATTTTGATTTGATTTAGATATTGAATCGATTAGGAATTAAACCGATATCCAACCGGTGTGAATCAGTCAAAAACAATAATAAAAAGATTTGAATGATTATGTTGCTATTAATCTTTTTTTTTTATTTAACTTCTAATATTTTAGTCATTATAAATTTGAATGAATTTTAATCATAATTTTTTTTATCAATGATTATTAATTTTATTTATTAGTGATTATTAATATTGTTATATTTTGCTACTTTCAATTAAATTATATTATTTTAATATAACCGGTTTGATCCCGAACTAACCCTAGTCCGACCAACTAATCTTTGAATCATTACTTCAACCGATTTAATATGCAATTTTTTGTTCCTTGGTCATCACACATTTCCTACCAACAAAAAAATAAAATTCAAACTGTGATCTTTCAAATTTACTTTGATTTTGGCTTTAATCTCTCAAGTTCTAAACTATAGTTTTGATTTCTCAAGTTTCTTTTCATTTAAAACATTACTCCCTATAATCTAATAAAAATTTGAATCATTTTGCCTCTTGAGGGACCAAAACTTATGATTTAAAATTTGAGGGACTAAAACCAAAATGAGAACAAACATGAGGGGCTAAAAATTATATTAATCCAAAAAAAATTACATTCTGTTTAAAAACAAACTTTTCACATATCATTAACGAAACATATTTACAGTAATATATTTACATAGAATGACAGCAGTTCAGACAGCAGACCTAATTGCCTTATTATCATAAAAAAGTTTCCTCAAGAAAATAACAGCTCAAGAGTTTCTGCCATCATCCCGTTCATCGATCAGTAGTTTAAACTACATAATTGACTGATACGCACGCTACCAAAATTGAGCTTCCCCAGCTAACCAATGCAATGCAGCACTATACCAATTCAAGCCTCCTCCTCCTCCTGAATATTCTCATCCTCACTACTGCTGTAATACTTGTCAGAGTACGTCTCTGATCCTTCGTTCTGGTTGACCAATGAAAACAGAGGAATGATCAGATTTAAGGGAAGAAGGAGAAGCATCTGACTTCATTGGACACGCGGCGTTTAGAGTTTTCAAAGAGGTAAACGTATCAAAGCATTCAAAACACAGCAAAATGCGACAAGAGTCAACTCCTGAAATTACTTTCGAAGAGTTTTATTTTTTAATTAGGACAAAACCTCAAAAGAGCAAGACTTTGCTACCAGCATTTTTTCAGTAAACTGCATGAAAAACTATTATGATTAAAACAATTTGATAGCAGCCATCTAAAAATGTAATAACATTTCCATTAAAAAAAAAAAAGCTGTAATAAGTTTTATACTTTTCAATAGGTAAAGTTTTTTCCTCCTTATCTGTAGTTTACACAAAGAAACTCATAAAAATACCTCTTCCAAGTCGTCATCAGAAAAAATTAGGCTCAGCCAGTCTTGAATAAACAGTTTCCTCATCGGCAATCTTCTTTCCATTTCTCAAATCATCCTAAAATAAGCAAAACATATGCAAGCAAATGTAAAAAGAAAAAATAAAGTTAACAATATAAGCATGTCAAAGATATTTAGGAAGCAATAAAAAGCACTACCAGCTCAGATTTCAGCAACTCAATCTCCTCCTCTACGTCTATGATATGATGTTTTAGTGCCTGGAAACATGTGCAAAAAAGATTAAAGAACAAATACATATAAGGTCTCAGTTCAGCGTTTATCCCATGTCATTGCATGATTACCTCACGTCTTTGAAGCTCAATTGATCGAGCTAATGCCTGCCTTCGTGATAACAAATTCTGAGGTTTCAGAGAACGTGGACG